CTAGCGGACGGACGGTAGTCCTGTTACAATGTTCCTTCAGCAAATTTCATAAATAGCATTACAAAAGCGAATTAATCGCAATTGACATGTGGAAATATCTGCGTTGACAGACTCGCTTATCTAAATACTCACACAATCATGAAATTTAAGAAGAAAAAAAGGCAGATTATGTGAATTGATTGCAGTAATTATTTACTTGAAGGTTTAATAAATTCAACGTAAAATGTCGTATAACTACATGTAATAAGAATGCTATACAAAAGAGAGAGATATAGTTCATATTTATTTGAAATATGTTCTTTCGTCAAAATAGTGTAAAACGATAAATCGAAGGTGTAAAAATAATACTTTTCATGAATGATTTTTAGTTTTGAGACGACCCCTTCATTTTACCTGTAAACTGTAGGTGTCATTAGTCGGTGTCGAGAGTTATTGAAAAGGTCTAATAACAATCGTACATTTTGTTAAAGTCATATATAACGAGTTTCTTGAAATTATAATTTCAAGTAAGTTATTGAACCAAATCACTTACTATTTAAGCATATATATACTAAACTATGTCCTATATGCACGATGTTTTACAATTATTACGAATCCATAACATGAAATCCGACAAAAAAAAAGTTATTCAGTAAAACATATCCCTGCTAATTAACTTTTTTTTTTTTTGTCGAAGTTTACTGAACGTAACAAACAATCAACCCAAAATCAAAAATAAGTGAATGATTGACATGCAATATATAGCGATGTTACTTTTTTATATTTTCCATGCGTTTCTATTTGTTAATTAAACTTTGTCATAACAGTTATTAAATGATTTGGTGTATAAAAAATTTCTTTCAGAATCATATGACAACATCCAACTTCCACATTAGTTTACTTTTTCTGTCAGCATGGTTTTTCCCTCGCACTTGCGCTGTGCGGTTGCCGAACTATTAACGAGAGGTCTCGTGGTTAAGGTTACTGCATACGAAAAGCTATTGGCTTATTAAAATACGATAAAACAAAATTCAAAAGCAGTACATTTCAGAAGATTTAGATGACAAAAAGAATTTTCTTTTAAAAGTTCATGTACACACATTTTATAGCAAAACTTAGCCATTCAAATATGTAAAACATATTCAACTTTATTAATTTTAAGTACCATATGACTATAATAATATCTGTTAAATAATATAACTTGAAATATACACGAGAGTACATATTCTCTTGTTTTCATAATTTTTCGAGAGAATTGCAATAAAAGCTTGTCGCGCAGATTTAAAAAAAAATATCCTTGCTGCTTCCTGATAAAAACATTTGTAACATACAAAATCTAAAGCTCTTTCAATACACCAATTTTCATATCGTTTCAATAATCCATAGAATGATACAATATCCCGGATTCAATCAATTATCCACAACTTCGTTTCAATCACAGAGATTTGGTCATTGTTACGGGAACTTTCAATATAAATTAAAAACATTGTTTTTGTTTGACTATATATATTTGAAAGATATTTCTGTGTAGTTAAAAAATAGTAAGAGTAAAATATTTTTACAGAGAAAATAATCCGTTGATGGATTCTATAATTTTTTTCAACAATATTAAGAATAGATTCGTCTCGATTTTTGTACATACATGTGCGGACTTCTCGCTGTTGTGCATCCAAGTGCATTTCTTTTTTCATAAGAAACAAACCTGTCGATAAAGCACGTATAATGTGAACATGCACAACTGCAATGTTTTATTTGAGATATGTAACTGCTACACGATGGGGCAGAGGATATTTTACTGCTGAGGAATTGAATTGTGACAATAGTAAGGGTGAAACCGTCAAGTTCGTTATTTATTGTAGTTTAAAGTCGTCCAATTGTGAAAATAACAAGAAAAAGATCCAAATATGAAACATATCTCTAATACTTGTAGAATTCTTAATATCACCTTCACTTAGAAATATGAGATTCAAGCAATAGCTGAAATGTGGGTTATTTATTAATGTATCTGAATGTTTACTCCAAAAACTTGGCAATATGTTTTTTCCTATTGTCTTTGAGAAGGTTTTATATGAATTCAACTTCATATGAGTAAAAAATAACATAAACGGTACTAAAATTACTGCAGCAGATGCGCATGTCGACAACAAAAGTCTCGTCAGTACGGATCGAGTCCAAAATATTTGGAAGTCCAATACCTCATATAAATATATACTTGTTTTGGCTTTCAATCTTTTTTCATCTGAGCGTCACTGGATGGTCTTGTGTGGACGAGACGCACGTCTGGCGTATTGAATTTTAAGCCTAGTACTTTTTGTTAGCTATTATTCGTGTGTTTCTTTGTCCTATATGTTCTCCCATTTATTTGTATTATGGTCCTGTCATGTGATGTTGTCGTTTTGGTGTTGTGTTTGACGTTGCCATTAAAGCGGGAGGTTTGGCATGCCACAAAACCAGGTTCAACCCACCACTTTTTTCTTAAAATGTCCTGTACCAAGTCAGGAAAATGGCCATTGTTATATTATAGTTCGTTTCTGTGTGTGTTACATTTTAATGTTGTGTTTTTGTTGTGTCGTTGTTCTCCTCTTATATTTGATGCGTTTCCCTCAGTTTTAGTTTGCAACCCGGATTTGTTTTTATCTCTATCGATTTATGAGTTTTGAACAGCGGTATACTACTGTTGCCTTTATTCATACACAGATTGAAAAACTAACTAACAAGACCAAATGTAAAGCCAAACTTAAAAAATTAAACAATAGATATAGGAAGATGTGGTATGAGTGCCAATGAGACAACTCTCCATCCAAGTTACAATTTATAAAAGTAAACCATTATAGGTCAAGGTACAGCCTTCAACACGGAGCACTGGCTCACACCGAACAGCAAGCTATAAAGGGCCCCAAAAGTCGGCAAATGAGTGCACAACTTAATGTTTACATCATTACACTAAACTCAACAATATTTCGTCGATCAAAATGTCTGATAATATCGTTTTCAGTGTATTTGTTGTTGGAATCAGTGTTGCTCTTCAAAAGTAAAATTTTTCGTTCCCTCAAGGTTGCATTTCTGTAAATATTAACAATGCAATTTCCCATAGGAACTCCTTTTACGGCTAAAACTGTACCACTTTTACCATGAAGTTTGAAAAAAATCATATCCTAGAATGGAAAGTTCATATGCACTACAATTTTTTTCAAAGGTCAAAATATAGGGCTGTGCGGCATATTTTCAACGTTTATATGCCCCGAACTTCTAAGAGTTTAAACTAACACTAAATTTCTTAACTATCCCTACCTATGGGATTACCATAGATTTCTATATAGACAATATGCATATGTATATTTACTGGTAACATTCCCAAGTTATGTCTCTATGAGATGAAACCTAGAGATCATAACTGGGAACCAGTATGTAAACAAAATTAATTATCTATGAATATTCTATATCTCCCCAAAAGAGGCGTGGTTTGAGAAACAGCTGTATTTACAAAGTGCAACCTCAAACAAGAAAGATATATCTACGATTCCTATTTTCATAGAAAAAAATTTTTTATGAGAAGATGTAATCAATTAAAAGTCATATCATTGTAAGTGTCATTGGAGAAGATGCTGATTTCCAATTAATTTTCAAATGTTTTTTTTTATCAAACAATTGATATTATGTGATTTAAACAATTTATACCATGTGATTTATACATTTATGCCACGTGATTTATCAGTTGTTCAAAATTTGCACAATGTTTTGCGTTTCCCAATATTTTGGCCTCGAGCATCACCGAATAGACAGGCGAAAGATACAAAAGACATATGCAAACTCATATGTCGAAGAAAAAACCTGACAATGCCAGGGAAAAAAATCCGAAAAACGACAAAAAGACAAAGAAGAATACACAAAACACGATTGTCAAAATCCGCATCTGGTGCTATACAATAGTTACCGTGTCTATCATTACACATAAACTGACATTTTTAGCGGCTGTCTGCGGCATATTTGTCGCCAATGTAAAAACTCACCAAAGATAACAGGCGTATAACTGGGCACGCCAAACGCACCTTTCGTTTACATAAAACAGGTATTTAATAAAAGCAACAGAAGTATACCGCTGTTTAATAGTCATAACTCGATTAAGCAAAAACAAATCCGGGTTACAAACCAAAACCGAGGGAAACACATCACCTATAAGAGGAAAACAACGGAACAACAGAAACACTAAACTACAACAAAAGCAAACGCCAACATGCATAGAAACGGACTGTCTGATAACAACTGCCATATTCCTGACTTGGTACAGAACATTTTTAGACAAAATTGTTGGTTGAACCTGATTTTATGGCTAGCCAAGCCTCCCACTTACATGGCAATGTTAAAAATACCGCAAAAATGACAACACTACTTGAGAGGAATAGAGTACAAACAAACGCAAGAACACTCAGCACAGAAAAATACATAAATAAATAATATAATAGTACATTACAACATGTAAACCGCAGAATAACAATGGACACCTCCCATGAATTTGCGACAGCACACCAGGACACCAGAAACGAAATATAAGCTGCGCGTCACATGAATGGATCAACGTCACAAAAAGTGACGTATTTTTTGTGACGTTTATATAATCATAGGTAAATTTCAAAAAATAAAATAGATTTGTTTTATTTATAGACACGTACAAGAATATTAAATTGGCATTGAGTTTGTAATGGTGTTATTTTATGTATTTTTTAACCATGACAAGAATATTAAAATGGAATTGTGTTTGTAATGGTGTTATTATTTGTATTTTCTAACCATGTCGGTTTTTCTTCTTAAGCAACATTAAGATCATTAACATAGAAGATATGGAATAAGCTCTCGTAATCTTATGTTGTGTTCATTGTTGATTTTTACCAACGACCCAATATCTGCTACTTATCATTAATATACTTCTATATGAATATACGAAGATCCATTTGTTTTGGTTCGATTCGAACTCAAGCCCTCGAGAATGATGGTACAAACAGTGCCCATGTGTTGACACGAAACATCATTGATATAGTAAATTTATTATTAACAAAACATTAAAATAATTCAAAACACTGATATGTTTTCTACCCATAGGCATATATGTCCTTGGCCTGATTTGGTAGAACTATTCGGACTTTTATTTTTGTTGTTGATTTGAATGAAAAGTAAGTATAAAAAAATTAAACATTTAATGATCTATTTATGTGTCCTTGTTATTGTGGGGTATATCCAGGAGGATACTGAATCTGTACGGTTGGGGGACAATTGGGAGTTTGACAACACATTCCTGCTGCTGGTTGTTTCATTGTACATACACTAGGCAAGTTAAACTGTACACACCTACAATGAGAATAAAAAGCAGCTTTCAAATTTGAAGAAAATATAAACAATAGTCATAATGGAGATTACAAAAGACTATGCCAGTTACTTGTTTTAATAATGGTGTTACTTGATATATTTTAGTTGAATAAGTCTGAAGGTTGTAAGAAAGCGATGCCTTAAACTTTAACCTTTTGAAGCAGATCATAATGCTTGGTTCATAATTAAAAATCAGATACCTTTTGCAGAACCAATGTTCCAGATTAGGGAATAATAATCATACGAATACGAATACACTTTTCAAGTGTTTACTTGTCACGGAGAATTATGCGCATGAGTCCAACAGTTTTACACCCTATTTTCAAAATCAAAATCATCAAAAATAAAGGAACGAGTATTGAACAATGACTAGTTCCAACAAAATCCATATGCTATATGTAATGCTTTAAAAGGCCTATAATATCCTCTGGAACAAAACATTGGAATATGATCTGACAAGTATATTTTTTGTAATCTAAGAATTTTAGCATCCATTTTAGAGAAAACATCAGGTTAAATAAATGCTTCCACAACTATCACTGTATGGAAAAAAAATTGTTTATAGCAAACAAATGTTTTTTCTCAGCTCCAGTCATTAACTCAGAAATGTCGACTCCATGTGTAGAGCTGGTACTAATACGAGAAAGAGGCCTCCCATATATGATCTATAATTCGCACTTTAAATATTAAATTTGATGTCCAGTATGCAATTGTGTTTTCTGTTTATCTTTGACTTAGAACTTTCAAAGGCACCCATAGTCTCTTCGGCCCTTTTTATTTCATACCGACGACTATAACAACTACAATGAATAACAGTGATTGTCAGTCATGTAGTCCCACTTATTGTTACAATGAATAACAGTGATTGTCAGTCATGTTGTCCCGCTTATTGTTACAATGAATAACAGTGATTGTCAGTCATGTTGTCCCGCTTATTGTTACAATGAATAATAGTGATTGTCAGTCATGCTGTCCCGTTTATTGTTACAATGAATAACAGTGATTGTCAGTCATGCTGTCCCGTTTATTGTTACAATGAATAACAGTGATTGTCAGTCATGTTGTCCCATTTATTGTTACAATGAATAACAGTGATTGTCAGTCATGCTGTCCCGTTTATTGTTACAATGAATAACAGTGATTGTCAGTCATGTTGTCCCGTTTATTGTTACAATGAATAACAGTGATTGCCAGTCATGCTGTCCCGTTTATTGTTACAATGAATAACAGTGATTGCCAGTCATGCTGTCCCGTTTATTGTTACAATAAATAACAGTGATTGTCAGTCATGCTGTCCCGCTTATCATTACAATGAATAACAGTATTTGTCAGTCATGCTGTCCCGTTTATTGTTACAATGAATAACAGTGATTGTCAGTCATGCTGTCCCGTTTATTGTTACAATGAATAATAGTGATTGTCAGTCATGCTGTCCCGCTTATTGTTACATTGAATAACAGTAATTGTCAGTCATGCTGTCCCGTTTATTGTTACAAGTAATAACAGTGATTGTCAGTCATGTTGTCCCATTTATTGTTACAATGAATAACAGTGATTGTCAGTCATGCTGTCCCGTTTATTGTTACAATGAATAACAGTGATTGTCAGTCATGTTGTCCCGTTTTTTGTTACAATGAATAACAGTGATTGCCAGTCATGCTGTCCCGTTTATTGTTACAATGAATAACAGTGATTGTCAGTCACGCTGTCCCGTTTATTGTTACAATGAATAACAGTATTTGTAAGTCATGCTGTCCCGTTTATTGTTACAATGAATAACAGTGATTGTCAGTCATGCTGTCCCGTTTAGCCATTGGTAGATGAACATTCATATTTACAAAGAAGTGTTATCAAATATCAGCAAAAAATTCAGGTTTTGGCAATCAAACCAGAAAAGACAAGATATTACATCGAAATATATTGCCATACAACAGCGGAGATAAGGTATCAATGTGATGACAGAAAATAGACGCAATTAAGATGTCATTCCAAATCCATAACTATAAAACAGCTTCTGAAAGTGTGACTGCATCTGGAAAATTTGAGATAATGACACTATTCCTGTTTTATCAAAACTAATTGCTCTTTAAAAACAAGAGAACAGATGAAATATTTATTTATTACTTCTATGTAAATCAGATTTAGTCTTTCCATAAATTCTGGGCTGACGCCCCTCAGATATGAGAAGCCTACATCTACTATATAAACCAATAAATTACAACGACTTGCATTTATATAGTCCTTTTTGGTATTAGAACAAGTCGAATAACTTACAAAGATTGACAGTTGTACATTCCTGTTGATGCGTTGGTACATGTACACTTGTATTTACATCCATCTTTCCATGTCTGACCTTGCTGATAAACTTGATTATTATATACACAACCTAAAATAAATAACTGATAGATTGGTTATCCAGATTATCAAAACCAAACAAAACACTAACTAGATTTTCAATTGCAATTAAGAGCGGATGGCAACCTCGTCCCCTATTGCCAGGGTAACAGCAGCCATTTTGAAAATTCCAAATTCAAACAGCGCATCTGTACATGCCACTTAACATTTTTGAAAAGTTTCCTTAAGTTTGAAGCATTTTGTCATTTTTGAGATTTTTGCTGTTTCCATGGTAACTGTGACCATTTCCAAAATTCCAAAGGCGGATGCCATGTTACATATCCATAAAGTTTTATTGGGTTTGATCTAATATTTTTTAGGAAAATGCAGCATTAATGTGTTTTCCAATAGGGTCTATATGTTAAACTTTCCCCCTGTTTCCATGACAATGACGGCCATTTTGGATTTTCTAAGTACTGTCTGCACATCTAGACATACCAGGTAACATTTCCATAAAGTTTCATCCAGTTGGTCTTATAATAAAAGATTTAGAATTTTAACATTTGGTTGAGGCAAACTTAAATTAGAGAACAGAATTCAGCAATTTTTCCATTTGTAAAGGGGCATAACTCTAGAAAAGTATTAGTGACGTCACCCAATTTCAAACTTGATCTGTGTTTTGTGGTAATAAGCATTGTGTATAAGTTTCATAACATTTGGTTGAGGCAAACTAAAATTAGAGAACGGAAACCAATTTCGGGACATACAGACGTAGAGACGGACAAGGGTAAAACTTAATACCCCTCCGCTACGGCGGGGTCATAATAAGAAACGTAGAATAACAATATGTCACCCCAACTCTGTTCAAAGTGCCATAATTAAGTACAACTTGGTAAACGATATTAATAAAAACAAACTTGAGCCACATTATAAACAGCTTGGTAAACCATTTTATTCAGAAACAAACTAAAAAACAAATTTTTAACATCTTGATATTCTAACTAACTTATAATGTACCAAAGTGAGTTTCAAATGTCTGTACCATGTCTACTATAAGTGAGATGTCGCGGTCTAAAAGTACCTATAATGTTAGATTATTACCATACCTGTAGATCGACTAACATGACCAGCTCCAGTGTCTGTGTTTACGAGTACCTATAATGTTTGACTATTATCATACCTGTAGATTGACCAACATGACCAGCTCCAGTTCCTGTGTTTACGAGTACCTATAATGTTGGACTATTATCATACCTGTAGATTGACCAACATGACCAGCTCCAGTGTCTGTGTTTACGAGTAACTATAATGTTTGACTATTATCATACCTGTAGATTGACCAACATGACCAGCTCCAGTTCCTGTGTTTACGAGTACCTATAATGTTGGACTATTATCATACCTGTATATTGACCAACATGACCAGCTCCAGTTCCTGTTTACGAGTACCTATAATGTTTGACTATCATCATACCTGTAGATTGACCAACATGACCAGCTCCAGTGTCTGTGTTTACGAGTAACTATAATGTTTGACTATTATCATACCTGTAGATTGACCAACATGACCAGCTCCAGTTCCTGTGTTTACGAGTACCTATAATGTTGGACTATTATCATACCTGTATATTGACCAACATGACCAGCTCCAGTTCCTGTTTACGAGTACCTATAATGTTTGACTATCATCATACCTGTAGATTGACTAACATGACTAGCTTCAGTTCCTGTATTTACGAGTTACTATAATGTTTGACTATCATCATACCTGTAGATTGACCAACATGACCCGCTCCAGTTCCTGTTTACGAGTACCTATAATGTTTGACTATCATCATACCTGTAGATTGACCAACATGACCAGCCCCAGTTCCTGTTTACGAGTACCTATAATGTTTGACTATTATCATACCTGTAGATTGACCAACATGACCCGCTCCAGTTCCAGTTCCAGTTCCAGTTCCAGTGTTTACCATAGTACCACCACCTGTCATTCCACTGGTTGCTAAAATAATTACATCAAGTACTTCAATGGAATATAATAATTTACATCAAGTACTTCAATGGAATATAATAAATTACATCAAGTTCTTCAATGGAATATAATAAATTACATCAAGTTCTTCAATGGATTATAATAAATTACATCAAGTACTTCAATGGAATATAATAAATTACACCAAGTACTTCAATGTAATATAACAAATTACATCAAGTACTTCAATGTAATATAACAAATTACATCAAGTACTTCAATTGAATATAATAAATTACATCAAGTACTTCAATGGAATATAATAAATTACATCAAGTTCTTCAATGGATTATAATAAATTACATCAAGTACTTCAATGGAATATAATAAATTACACCAAGTACTTCAATGTAATATTATAAATTACATCAAGTACTTCAATGGAATAAAATAATTTACATCAAAGCTTCAATGGAATATAATAAATTACATCAAATCTTCAAAGGAATATAATGAATTACATCTAGTCTTCAATGGAATAGTGTATCAGTAACTTAAGTCTAGTTAGAATGGCCATGTTAAATCAACTGTCCCATGAAGGAATATCACCGCATACTTTTCAAGATGGTCACATTTTTCTTTCTCTACCCAAATGAAATCTTTTTTTCTGTCAATCTACGTTTTCCAACCTTCATTCCGATCGACTTACTGAGTTAAGTTTGTGTTGCTCAGTCTTTAGTTTTCTATGTAGTGTTAGGATCACTATTATTTGTCTTTCAGTCGTTTTTCGTGGTTTTTTTTTTTGCCATGGTGTTGTTAGTTCGTCATGAACTTATGAGTTTGAATATCAACTTGATATCTTCTACCTCACTTTTATCAGAACCCGTATTACTGAGGTATTGTTTTTTGTTCTCGATGATTATTAATGTAAAATACGGTGGTGTGGTATGATTGCCAATAAGACAACCATCCACCAGAGTTAAAGTGATGTAAGCACACGAAGGTACCCTTACGGCGTTCAACAATGAGCCAAAACATAGCATATAGTCAGCTATAAAAGATCCCGACATGTCTGCCATCTTATCGAGTGAACAACGAGAAGATAACAGGTATGGAAGGGAATATCCGCCATAATTATACATTTCTTAATTTGTAACATGCAATTTCTTAATTTACAAAATGTAATTTCTTAATTTGTAACATGTATTTTACCTTCCGTTACATGCATTTCTACATTTCTTGATTTGTGAAATGTAGCCTCTTAATGTGTAAACGCAATTTCTTAATTTGTTAACTTATTTTCTACGTTCGTTATATGAAATTCTACATTTCTTAATTTATGAAATGTAATTCTTTGTTTGAGTCACGTTTTGGGAAATTGTGTCAGTGTAATTGTTGCTGCTGCCAGCCAATGAGAAGTTCCGTTTCTTAAGAAAAACAACAAGTTACAAATCAAGAAGTTCTACAAATCAAGAACTTTTTACAAATCAAGAATGAAATAGTTCCACAATATTCCACACGAGGTCGCTGTGGATTCATATCAACTCGTACCTAAGCCAACATGCACTCAATATTTACCAACTCGTACTTCTACCAACTCGTACTTTTTATACACATTAAAATGTTATGTTCTTTTATAGAATATACAAAATACAATACGGTACAACTTTATTGATTGGTTATCTGATGCAATTTGTTTTTAAATCACAAATATCTAAAGTTAATCATTCGTCTTTAGAAGTAAGTGATTAATATATGAAATTGTTTGAACGATGATTTATTTCATATACATGTTGAATAGTTATAATCATACAATATTCTAATCATTGACCATTAGTCAGTGGCGGGTTGGGATGGGGAGTCCGGGGGTTGATACCCCCTATATGTTTGACAACTAATGCTTTTATATGGGGACATATGGTATGAAATCCCCTTTTTATAATGACGTGTATGTATTGGAACACCCTTTTAAAAATTGCTGGATCCGCGCCTGATTAGTGGATAATAGGCTCGGACCTACAAAATAAAATGCGGTTGTTTAAATGAAAAATAAACATAGAAGGGTTTATGAAAACACATATTTAGGAATAAATGCTGCACTTTTAACACAAAAGTCTGCTGAGTTTGACTTATTACCTTTGTAAAAACCAAGTCTGAGTGAAAATAAGGGCAAAATGTATGATCCTACATTTGTAATCATGGTTCGTATCTGTTATAGTATCTAAATAACTGTATGTTTAAAAACGTTTGGACTATGTTTAAGTCCTGTATTGGCTTTATCGCTTCAAAAAGATTAGAAAGGCCTTCATATTCTATGGTGCTTTTTTTACTGATTTTTGCGTTGAACCTGTGTTCAAGAAGATTTTTCTGATTAGTTCATATATGAATGCCTTTCGAATCTTTTTGAGGCGATAAAGTCAGCACAGAAATTAAACATAGTCCAAAAATATAGATGTAATTGTCTGGTAGGTTTAAATTATCTAAGTCAGTTAACATCGTTTCAACAAAAATACAGATATCATGTCCAAGCAAAATGTCATTGGAATCCGGAGACAGCAGTCTTTTCTTCAGCCCACAAACATTTAAGAAACAAAACTTTAAGCTATCTGCCAGAAGTCGGTGGAGCATTTGCGTTCGATGGACGAGGGGACGGCCCAAGTTGCTGTCTTTTGCTAGGTGGGGTATCACTAGAGTAAGACCCTTTTGGGGTCGTGGTATGATTTGTTGACGAAGAGCTGGTACGCTCTGTTCTAGATTCGTCTAATACAATGCCAGGAATATAGAGCTGATTGTCTAAGGCGAATGATTAACTTTAGATACTTCTGATTTGAAAACAAATCGCATCAGATTACCAATTAATAAAGTTGTACTTTATTGTATTTAATATAAAAATAAGGAGATTGCATTTACACATTAAGAAGTTACATGTCACAAATGAAGAAATGTAGAAATTCATGTAACGGATGAAAAAAATATATGTTACAAATTAAGAAATTACATTTTACAAATTAAGAAAGTGCATGTTACAAATTAAGAAATTGTATTTTACAAATTAAGAAATGTATAAATATGGCGGATATTTCCTTCCATAACCAGGCAGTACTGTAAATTCAGAAATTATTGAGTGCATTCATTATTGCGATTTTAGGAAAAGCAATATACAGATGTATGTAATTGATATCAAAATGCGAGTTCTTATTATTGCGATATTCAAGTAGTCGCATTATTTGCATTAATAAAAACCTCGCAATAATTTCTGAATTTACAGTAACTAGTGTATACTTCGTCTACATATTTGCCTATGACCAAAACATTGAATGCAACAAATATAAAGAGTTTGACAGCATAAAACGCCAAAAAAGTGTGGGTTAATACATACCACAATATGCACAACAATTGTCTTGCACCCATCCGGTGTATTTACTATCAGTACATACGGTCTTTCCATAGGAAGCACAGTTCACACCTTGTTTGTCTACACACGATCCTAATAATAAACACTAAATTATATAGATATTGTAACGTTGCATCCATTGGAAGGCACATAGAAATCACAAATGCCATTTATTATATAGACAGTTTCGTATCGTATGATAATAGTTTCACACATCATTTATTAAATAGTGATAGTTTCGTATAAATTGATAATCATACATATTGTTTATTATTATCAATTTGAACGCTATGAAATATTACTAAGTTTACAATAAATATAAATGAGACAGCCACACAACTCAAAGAAAACCAACAATAAAGATGAAACAGTTAAAAAAACACCGTCAGCTTTGCAACAAGTAATATCAACATTTCATATACGAACTTGTTTTAGGTTTCTTCATGAATATCATTTTTAATTTACAAAACGCATTCACACGAGGCAAAGGTTAAAAGCTCACCTACAATATGTTGACTGCTGTACCCCAATGTTTTTACATGTTTACTTATTTTGTCTGTTTGTTTCGCTCACACGTTGTTGTCAATATAATGGAATTCTATGGGACTGTCATACAAGTGAGAGGTTTCGCTAGCTATAAAACCAGGTTTAATCCACCATTTTCTACATAAGGAAATGCCTGTACCAAGTCAGGAATATGACAGTTGTTTTCCATTCGTTAGATGTGTTTGAGCTTTTGATTTTGCCATTTTATAAAGGACTTTCCGTTTTGAATTTTCCTTTGAGTTCGGTATTTTTGTATGATTTTACTTTTTACAACTTCTTTTAGAATGATCACAAACAATAACATTACTGTATTTCTGATAGTAAATAACTATTGAGAACAAATTTCTTGCTAAATTGTTGTAATTGTTGATTGGTAAACGTTTTATTTTTTAGAACTTTAGAGCATTCAAAACGAATTACTGTTAAGAGTTAGACATAGCCTCACTTTAGATTAATCGTACATATTTACCCATTCCTGTTCCCGTTCCTGTGAAGGAACCACCAGAACCTGTTCCCATTCCAGTACCTGTTCCCATTCCTGTACCTGTTCCCCCTGTACCTGTTCCTGTGAAGGTACCACCAGTACCTGTTCCCGTTCCGGTACCCGTTCCAGTACCCGTTCCTGTGCCTATTCAAATAAAATTGAGAATGGAAACGGGGAATGCGTCAAAGAGACAACAACCCGACCAAAGAGCAGAAAACAGCCCAAGGCCACCAATGGGTCTTCAACACAGCGAGAAAATCCCGCAAAAAAAAAGATCAAAAGAAAAATACACAAAATAGCGATAACATGATTTATAACATACTTTTTCAATTAAATTATCCGCTTATAAATTGTGAAAACACTGAAAAACCAACTCCCTCAGGGAAAGTTGACTATAGATGGATTTAATCATTATTTTATACCCCTTTTGATCATATAGCTCTTTACGTGTTTAGGGAATTATACATCCCTGGCTATGAATTTGTTTTGGGTATGACATTTCCTGATGAAAGTAAATTAAAAAAGTGCATCGGATACTTTCGTATAAAGTTTTATTTTCATTATTTTTCAAAATTTATTCAACATGACATTTTCTTCAAACATTAATGTTAAAAAGTTGGTATTAAGTGTAAGACAAGATTCAAGATTTCGCGAAAATATGTTACTTATATTTGTAAGCGAATACTAACAATGTAATGGCAACAACATCTAACACAATACTACGACACAGAGAGACGAAAACATAATGGAAACCAAGGCAAGGACACATTGAGACAGGAGCAAGGCTGAAAACAACAAAAGGACACATAGATGCAGGAGCAAGGTTGAAAAACAAACGCAAGGAGGCATACAGACTGGAGCAAGGTTTGACACGAGACGACGACACACAGACATGAGCAAAATGGAAAACAACATGAGTACACATACAGACAGGAGCAATATGGAAAACAACACGAATAACATACGGACAGGAGCAATATGGAAAAACAACACGAATAACATACGGACAGGAGCAATATGGAAAACAACACGAATAACATGCGGACAGGAGCAATATGGAAAACAACACGAATAACATACGGACAGGAGCAAGGTGGAAAACAACACGAATAACATACGGACAGGAGCAAGGTGGAAAACAACACGAATAACATACGGAAAGGAGCAATATGGAAAACAACACGAATAACAAACGGACAGGAGCAATATGGAAAACAACACGAATAACATACGGACAGGAGCATTATGGAAAACAACACGAATAACATACGGACAGGAGCAATATGGAAAATAACACGAATAGCATACGGACAGGAGCAAGGTGGAAAACAACACGAATAACATACGGACAGGAGCAAGGTGGAAAACAACACGAATAACATACGGACAGGAGCAAGGTGGAAAACAACACGAATAACATACGGACAGGAGCAATATGGAAAACAACACGAATAACATACGGACAGGAGCAAGGTGGAAAACAACACGAGGACACATACAGACAGGAGCAATATGGAAAACAACACGAATAACATACGGACTGGAGCAAGGTGGAAAACAACACGAATAACATACGGACAGGAGCAATATGGAAAACAACAAGAGGACGCACACACACATGAGCAAAGTCGAATACAACACGAGGACACATACAGACAACAGCAAGGTGGAAACAACATGAGGACACATACAGACGGGAGCAAGGTCAAACACGAGTAAAGGACACAACGATACTAAAACAAGGTGTTAAACAAGATAATAATACAAAAAGGCAGTGGCTGTACCCACAACACGAAGACACAAGAGCAGTGATAGTCAAGACGAGAACAGAGTTAAGAGTAGTTGAACACAACACAAAGATAAATAGATACAGGCCCAAATATTGAAACTAAAGATAATGATGATTGAAAGGACGACGAAACGATAAGTAAGCAAGCCTGATGACAGACTTGTATACTCTCACAAAAGGTGATACGAACTCATTAAAAAAGTAAATGGCGGCTGATAAAAGGAGATCTATAGATGTGCCATCAAAGTCAATGAGATTTAAACCCTAAACTGATATACACGTGTGATGCCAATTTTAGAGTTAATAGACTAGAAAAGACAGATACATGGGCAATAAAGTTCATAGCTTTGCTTCTAATATAATTTCTTTGGATAAAAATGAACTTATGAACTTATTCATTTTTAAGATGATTACTCAAAAATTTGCCAAAACCTACCACATTGCAATCTTGAGTCCTCTTTTGGATTTCATAATTTAATTTCATGAAGCTGACATACTTGGAATTTAGGCAAAGATTGAAAGATTTTTTTGAAAAGGACACATGATTTATAACAAACCTTTTTAAATTCTAAGTTTATAAATCTATAAGTTATCAAGAAACTAAGGTTTAAAATTAACTACCTCAGGCAAAGTTGACCTAAGATAGATTTGGCTATTATTTCTAGGTCCTTGTTGGTCATATAGCTCTTCAACTGTTTCAGTTCTTATACATCATTGGCTTTCAAATATTCGGCTTTGAGCGTTCCTCATGAAGGTTAATCCAGAAAAGCACTTCTGGCGCATGAAATTTACAAAGTGTTTTTTTTTTTTCTTTTTTACAGAAAGAAAATAATGATATTAACAAGGACCACGGCAAGATTTTTGGCATTAAACAACATATTAATATCTGTAGTTGTTAGCTTTTGTGAGTATTTCAGCCATCTCCCTTTTTATCTCAATGAATGTAACTAATGAAGGTACACAGAAACAAAAGTACATCAGAAAACAATGGAAAAAAAGCTTATCTAAATAATATCTAAACTACAAGCTACAAACACCAAGGTTGAGGCTAAACAAAAGAAATCAGTAAATATTTAGCTAAGTTAAGTAAAAATTAGTATATCAAATTCAGTGGAAAACCCCTAATTGGTACAGGGGGAAATACACGTATAGGACGAAAAGTGTCGTTATTAAGCAGGGACAGTCTATACTACTAAGTTAGTATAGACTGTCCCTGTATTAAGTGACCCTCAAGCTGATTTCGAATAAATATATCTATATATAGACATACCTGTAAATGTTCCTGTCCCTGATCCTCCAGTACCTAACAATAAATACAGAAAAAAATACTAGATATAAGGGATTGCATTACTTATTAAACTGATAAAAAAAAATCACGGTCGCTAGCTGTGAATTACCTGTAGCCTTAATCATCATAAATAAATTATAAAGACGACCTAACGAAGTTCCTATAATACAATCATATTGCAAAGAAAAACACATCGACAATAAACAAGATTATGACTTCGGACAGGAAGATAAACATAATGCTGAGTGTCCCCTCAATCCACATAATCTCAATTTGCAAGAAGGAGATAATGAAAGGGAAATTCGTCAATAAAGGGCAATTAAGAAAACATACACAAACTTCAATTTAACACTAAGGCAGATTAAAAGAATAATACTTTATAATTACCTGTCATGGTTCCACCTAAAATATAAATGTATTTTAGCATATCATTACTGTATCGTTATAACTATTCGATTTAATTATGTTGAAAGAAATCAACATTTATTTTTTGTTATATGGCACTGAGCAAATGATAAACTGTAAAGTGCAAGTGTCCATTATATAATGTTAGTGAAGAATTATGGTGTAATAATTTTTCAGTAATACATAAATTTCTCTCGCTAAAATCTAATACGTTGTTACATAGACGAGCAAATCGTACAAGTTGAGATATATAAACACCATAAGATGGTGACAAGGGAACGTCACCATCTAAAAATGGATAATTAACGATAGGAAATGAAAAATCATCTCTTTTATCACAAATTTTTGTATTAAGCTTCCCGTTAATGATATAGATATCAAGATCGAGGAAAGAACAGTGGTCATTGTTAGTATTAGCTTTATTTAAAGTAAGTTCAACAGGATAAATTTCTTTAGTATACATACTGAAGTCGTCATTATTGAGAGCCAATATATCATCCAAATATCTAAAAGTATTGTTAAATTTTTGTATCAGATGTTGTTTCGATGGGTCTTTGCTGATTTTAGTCATAAATTGTAACTCATAACAATACAAAAACAGGTCCGCAATAAGTGGTGCACAGTTAGTCCCCATTGGAATTCCGATAACTTGACGATATACGGAATCTCCAAAGCGAACAAAAATGTTATCAAGTAAAAATTCAAGGGCAGATATAGTATCAAAGCATGTCCAATTGACATAGCTCTTTTGTTTTTTGCTACTAAAAAATGACCTAAAAGAGTTTGAACATATGTATTCGCATTCCGACTCTTTAAATGCCCATTTAATTAGGTGTGTGAATTTTTTCTTAATAAGAATATGAGGCAAAGTGGTATATAGGGTAGAAAAATCAAAACTTTGAACAGATTCAAAATCACCAATATATGCATGCAATTTATCAAGTACTTCCAACGAGTTTTTGACACTCCAAAAGTAGTTAATTCCACTATTTTCAAAGGCCTTATTTGAATAATTTATTATCAGGTTTTTGATTGTACCAAGTGTACTAGTAAGTAGAATAGACAATTTAGTAGTGGAAAAATGACTTGAAGACGAAATAAATCGATATTTGTAAGGTGATTTGTGTAGCTTCGGAAGCCATCCTTGGCTTTCAACATATTTGGTTTTGAACGTTCCTGATAAAGATAAATCCAGAAAAACGCTTCGGACTCATAAAATTTCATTTTTATCACAGGATTCACATCCTTCAATATGATATACTTCATGAATATTACTGAAACAATTTAACTGCATTACTGTATCCAATGTCAAAATTCAAACATGTATTGCTATTGCTGAAAACATCTTTTTCAGGTACGCTCCACACCAAACGAACGCCAAATATAAGGTGGAAATTACATTTTCAAAACCAACAAGGTCAAAAAGAGAACAGCCCCATCATCTAAGATCAACATCATCGGAGAAGGCTGAACCTTATTCTAAATTCATTCATAACCTTTAACTGTTAGAATATAATATACTACTAATTAAGTGGCTCTGCTATTACCTGGATAGTGGGTTCCAGCGTTTGTGTATTTGCTACCAGTGTATACTACAAAAGTGATAAAAGTTAATTTAATATCATCGTCGCCATAAAAGGGGTATGTATATATACAGCAGATACAAATTTTTCATGAAATTTCTAAAATCAAATAACGGAACAAACAGCTTCATTCCAAAATATTCATGATTTTTTTACTCATGATCTTCCCATTTTAAATTTCAAAAAAAATCTAATGGATATAAATATTCTGTATTAAAACACCAAATTCTTGTTCTTTTTATTTGCGCCAAAGTTTGCTAAGAATTTGATTTATCAAAATTATCTAACATTAATAATCATATTTTAACATAATTACATTCCATGAATGTTTCATAAAAACTGTACGTTTGACTGGCCGAAATAATCGGAGGCATTCAGAATTTATATAATTTATTTCTCAATAAAATGCAACATTCAGACTGCACGTGCCTCCCATAATGACGTCACAACAATGCATAGGAAAACAAAGGAACAGGTTATTTTAAGGTTGAAGCATACATATGTGTTTAACTGTGGTGGCTAGTTGTTTATTTGACAATCATACCAAATCTCCTCATGTTTATATTATTAGAATTTAGTACTTCTTTTTATTTAAATTTATGGAGTTATAAAAGCGTTGATCGTGCGCACATTTTTAGTATGAATCACTTCCGCGCTTCATACAAAATACGCTTTGATAAACGCTTTTAAACCCCAATAAAAATTCACAAAGAAGCATTCAATTCTTAGATAATGCTTATCTTCGACATGCTTTCTTTGAAGATGAGCGGTTAAAGCTAAAGCATAATTTTCCTCGGCAAAGGCTAACGCGTGTAGCATATGCGTTTTTAATGTTTAATTAAGAATTCTATTCTAAAATAATTGAATTATACCAATCGTAGTCAACACAGCCCTTCTGTAGAATTTAAAAGATGTCGCGTTCTACATTTATCCCGCTGTTGCCTTTAAAGCTGTAAAGCACCTTTCATGAAAGCATAAAGCGAAGCAAAAAAATAACTTGCAAAACCAACCGTGTCCGTCTGGAGTATACACTGGAATAAATCCGGTGCCACCGTTACTTGTTCCTGTTAAATCTATTAAAGCGTACTAATTATTAATAAGTGTCATTTTTCAATGCAGTTTAAGAATGTTTATTTCATTTTTTTTTTATTTAAGCATATCTCAATGACATTTGTTCTTCATGTATTAACTTCCACATGTCCGTCTGTAATATATAACAAAACAAATTGTAATTGACTGCTACCATTACCTTAAATGATTTAAATGTAACCAGACCATATTATACAGCTGAGAGTGAGATTCATTAATGTTGCATACTATCATAACATGTAAATATTGGTCATTGCTCACATTGCGAGGCAATATTCTTAATTATCAGATATTTGTTACGGAAACATTGGATTTTGCGTCTTCAATAACCGCAGATTTGTCCTATTCACATTCCTGCCGGGAGGCAAATGACCAGTGATTGTGCCCTTTTAAGACGTTATTGTTGTTAGGAACAACAAGGCACAATAACCGGTTATTTGCCCCGGGCAGGAATATGACTAGAATGTTACAAATATGTGATAACGTTCCTCCTATAACAACAATGACAGACGAGAAACGTCGATAAACATGACAGCGGAATTTGTTAAAGAAAATAAAGGACCGACATACTAAAAGAAAATCTGACATTGACATAATAATATTCAAGGACTATAGTTTTGAACATTTGGAAGCTTCTTAATAATGATGTTATTTCAGTGGCGGACAAACATTGTATGATCTTGCCAGACAGAACGATAAAATGTGTTCTACTTTTTTAAGCATTTGTATAATATGTGATAAATAGATTTATAACATGTCCTTTTCTATATGGGCCCTGGTACATCCCTCGACCAATACGAACCCTGGGCTAGCGCCTTGGGCTGATATTGGAATCTCGGGATAATACCATGTCGATATGGAAAAGGCCGTGTTATAATCTATAAATAATGCAGTGTTCTGACTTAATCCACTATGTACAGATATCATGAAGAGTCTTTTTTACTTTCTTTTTGCTCAGTTTACCGATGCCATAACGAGACTACGTTATTTTCATTCTGATCGGTTAAGCGATCAAATTGTCTATGATGTTACGAACCCCATAAAATCATTGATGTTCTTAACGTGTATAATTCCACACTGTTACAAAGGAAATATGTAAGTGTATTTGAAGGTATGATTTTTTGGGTAAGAAAATACTTACATGCACATTTGTTGCATGTTTTAGCACAGTTGTCTTTTACCCAACCAGCGTATTTTGGATCATTACAGGTTTGTTGACCATAATCTGCACAGTTCCTCACGTGATCAACACACAGCACTGTAATTGGATAATAATGTGAATGAAGCATATGACGCACCACATTACAATTAGATAATATTGTGAAAGACGCATATTACGCACCACATTACAATTAAACAATTTCCTGATAAATATATACCACTGTACAAAAGTATTAGTTAATATAAAATGATTGAATTTCCAATAAAAGTAATTTACATAAATAAAGTCTCATATAATCTACATTTGACAAAGACATTTAGATATTTGAGGTCGACTAATATTCGGGACTGTGATATTAGGTCTTTAACTTTCCATTGTTTTATCTTGTTTTTCACTATAAATTCCGGCGTGTTTATTTGTTTCATAAATTAAAAGATCAGCATGCATTTGGTAAAAGTAAACGTACAAAAAGGATTTTCTTGTTTTGTTCCATTTGTTTTTATATTTAGGGGTTAGCTTGAGGTTCCTGATTTGTCGATATATTCAGTTGCAATTCATGGCTGGGTTTCATAGTTGACAAACCGGTGTTGACAATGTACATCTTTTCCGTTTTACAGTAAGATGCAAACAAATTGCCGTAAAGCTAGAGAGACCGCATTTTCAAAACGTTCGAAATATAAAACAATTTTATATTACAATTAGATGACTATTGTACAAAACAGGCATCCAAATAGTTTTTGCTGTATCTGTACAGTATACAAAGATCCCCCCAGTTATCCTACTTCTACTTTGACCAAACGGTAATTGTAAAACTACTGTTCACATCAAGAGTTCATTCTGTTGTTTTTTTTAGATCCTTATCTAAGAATGAAAAAACAAAGACAAGAAGTTTGAAACTACAAAAGTAATCTTATAAACACGCCATTGTAAAATTGAAGGATAAAAAAACGAAATATACTGGCATTGTCGGAAAACATAAAGTTTATTTGTACTCGCTTCATTTATATTTTCCTGCAATATACTTATATTGGGTTTTTTATAGACAAATATTATGTGTGTGACTTTATATTTGTTTTTCCTCTGAAATAACTTATAAAACCTTCCAGTTAAATAAACATATGATACGCTTTGCAAAGCCAAAGCTAACATTCGATAACCCTGTATTTTATATCAAGGTAAAATTGCAGATGCAAAGCGAACTTTTAATAAAACATCATACCAGCAGATTACTTTTAAGAATAAGCAATAAAGAAGCTCCATTGCATTGGTCAACAGAATTGTCCAGCTTTCTTTACCTTTTTATTATTTGAAAAATGTAATTTATAGCACATACTTCGCAAATCAGTAAAAAAGCAAACGTTAGAACTTGTTTGCAAGCTACATGTTGCGAAATTTCCCGCGTTTTGAACGGACTATATATTTTGAAGAACATAATGATTTGAACAAAAGAAATCTCAATAATAGAACTTTGAAATAAGATACAAAACAAATATCTTGAGAAAAACAAAAGAAAGGGAGGGGTCTTATTATTCTTTTAATTTCACAAAAAAGACAAATTTATAGTAGAATCAATTATAAAAGCATCTAAAATGTTTTCACTCATGAATCAAATTTTTTTTCAATATGTTAACAGATCAAAAGTTCTTGTATATTTCTAAGAACGTATTTACTATACAATGAAATAAGATACTTAACAAAATTCATGCAAATAAGTTGCATCGCTGCTTATATATCAAAATGTGCTAATTTCTATAAACATTTATACTGTTGAGTAAATACCCTAAAATGTAGATGGTGGCAATATTCTTAAAATACAATAGTTCTTTAGCAGATTTACATCAATCAGTTATTATTGCATAATAGAACGTATAAAAGAAAGGGAACAAAACTCATCAAAGATGAATATATGAAACATAAAAGACGACATTTGTCACTTTTTATAATACAAATTACCGAAATGTATTGGATGTGCCATAAATACTGGAAACAAGACATTTCAGTGGTTGATATCCTTTTATATACTGTTATATATATGAGACATGATATTTAACCTGAAAAATGATGCCATAAGCCATGTCGAACAACATGAAGCTTTACTTACTGTACCCAGAAGCAAAAGGGAATAATTGTGTGTACTTACCTGTGTACGATCCAGAAATAATGGTGCCTCCTGTTAATATGCACAATTATGTCAGCCAAAAGAATTACCTTATATTCAAATGATGATAAATTCTACTGATCCATTGCATCAAGTTTATACGGCTTTTTGCTAAACAAAATAGTTTTCATTAGTTTTTACTAAACTAAATCGTCATCAACGATACCAGGATTATAAATTAGAATGACAGAATGTAAATGTTTTGTTTTTTTTAATAAATGGAGATGTGGGGTACACGTTAATGAGACACCAACCCAGCGAATAAAATAACAAATAGGCATATGATAATCTAAAGGTTATAAACTAAATAATCGGAGATTTCCAAGGTGAACTTGAAATTATGTAAAAGTAAAATTCCTATCAATTTCAGATTTTTTTTCTTTTGTTTGCTTAACTTTTCTGATAACTTTCAATGATATTTATTTTTTCAACTTTCTTCAAATTGAATTAGATTTTGTTTATTCAAAGATCATCTCAATCATGTAATTATAGAAGGATATGACACCGGGCATATATAAACAGTAAATTTGTTCCTGTACCTGTTCCTGTACCAGTTCCGGTACCTGTTCCTGTCATTCCAGTACCTGTACCTGTTCCGGTACCTGTTCCTGTCATTCCAGGACCTAGCCCTCCTGTTCCTGTCATTCCAGGACCTAGCCCTCCTGTTCCCGTACCTGGCCCTCCTGTTCCCGTACCTGGCCCTCCTGTTCCCGTACCTGGCCCTCCTGTTCCGGTTCCTGTCATTCCTGTTCCGGTTCCTGTCATTCCTGTGCCTGTTCCGGTTCCTGTTCCTATCATAGGCCTTCCTGTATAAACTGTTCCTCCTGCTAAATTAGTCAGAAATATCTAGTAAGTTTTGTACGGTCAGTCCAGATTATGCGGTTTTTTTTTTCATAATTAATCTTACTTTTCCACTCATGGAATTTTAAATCAGAAAAGGTTTAAATGTTAAGAGCTTGTTTAACACTGGCATACCGTCATTTGCCTTTTCCTAGCAAGTCCTTGTTAGTATTAGTCTATTGTTACACCCTGTAAAGAACCAGTACTAATTCACTGGAAGTGTGATAACTCGCTTCTATAACAATTTCAGAGGTAAAAACAAATCAAAAGATACCAGTCATATGATTTGGTACGCCAGACGCATGTTTTGTCTACCTCGGAACATGTGATTAACTTTTCATTAAAGGGTTAAAGTTTCAGATTGTGAAGCTTCCAACAAATTGCCTTCAACGAATACACTTGTTGTCGAGCCTTCGACTTTTGTCGAAAAAGCGAGACATAGCGATCCTACATTCCGTCGTCCGTGTCGTCGTCGTCGTCGTCGTCGTTGTTGTTGTCGTCGGCGGCGTCCACAATTAAGGTAGATAGGGTGTCTTCCTCCATCTTGGATTTTGTAATACATGAAAACAATCGGTCTAGATCTTTAATAGAATGTGCAAATTTTTAGAGTAGTAGGTAATTCATGTGTAAGAATTTTCATTTCAATATAAAAAATGACATGTTTTATCATATTTATGGTTGTATTTTACAAAAAACAGAAAACTTTTGTTTGATTCAATTTTTTCCAACTTTGCCACATAAGGGGAGGCAACTCAAATGTAAGGGCAGATAATTCAGATAAGGGTACTTTTACAATAGAATGTGTTAGGAATTTACCTATTTTATTATGTAGCAAGAAAACGGGTCCGGTGACCCCATTTTTTCTTTTTCTTATCTGAAAGCATACTATTCAAGATATCTTCTCATATTTTATCTCAAAATTCTATGGTGTAGTTTTCGTTTTATGGCAGAAAATTGGGTTTTCCATGCATAATCTATACAAAATCTGTTAATTTTGAACAACTTGTAGCGTGAAAATAAGCCCCGTGACCCATTCTTTTTATCATTTTTTTTTAAAAAGCTTGATATAAACTACATTTTGGCAAATTATTAAAAAATTCTATGGATTATAATTTAGACACCCCATCTACCTTAATCACTCTGAGGTTAAGTTTTTGAAATTTTAATAACTTTCTTAAACTATCCTGGATTTCTTCCAAACTTGGACAGAAGCTTGTTTATGATCATAAGATAATATTCAAAAGTAAATTTTATAAAAAAAATTCCATTTTTCCGTATTTTACTTATAAATGGACTTAGTTTTTCTGCCAGGAAACATTACATTCACTCTGTGGTTAAAGTTTTTGAAATTTTAATAACTTTCTTAAACTATCCTGGATTTCTACCAAACTTGGAAAGAAGCTTGTTTATGATCATAAGATAGTATCCAGAAGTAAATTTTGTAAAAAAAAATATTCCATTTTTTCCGTATTTTACCTATAAATGGACTTAGTTTTTTTGCCAGTTAACATTACATTCACTCTGTGGTTAAAGTTTTTCAAATTTTAATAACTTTCTTAAACTATCCTGGATTTGTTCCAAACTTGGACAGAAGCTTGTTTATGATTAAAAGCTAGTATCTAGAAGAAAATTTTGTTAAAATTTTGTTCCATTTTTTCCGTATTTTACTTATAAATGGACTTAGTTTTTCTTCCAGTTAACATTACATACAGTCTGCAGTTTAAGTTTTTAAAACATTTATTAGATTCATAAACTATCCTGGATTTTTACCAAACTTGATTAACAGCAAAAGTAGGCGAGACACTGGGTTCAACAAAATATGATTTTCACCCACAAAATTTCAAAAACAATGATATTCAAAAGAATACAAAAAATATAAAGCTTTACACTAAAAATTACATATTATTTCCAGATAAATATGACTTGAAGAGTTTTTTTTCTATTTCTTTGAAAAATTTCATTAATTTTTCGAAAATTTGAATCGGGTTACTTAAATCCAGTTTTGTTGAAAACAAAATATCACTAAAATAAAAGGAGCAGAGAATATGGTTAACTAGACTAAGATGCTCAAATATCAAAATACCAATAGAAACTGGTCGATGGTACAATATTCCAAAAGAACAACTATTTTGTACCTTATGTAATGATAATTGTATTGGTATTCAGTTATTATCAATTGATATGTCATAATGACGATGTTACAAGATTAAGACACAAATTTATATACCAAATTACTATATTGTAAACCCTAGAGAAGATAAGATTAATTGTCTGCTGTCTTAATGTAATTTAAAAGTCTTGAATTATTTGGCAATTTTCACAAAAAAAAACTTATGAAATACCTGTGAACTTACCTCGTTCAACCCGCGTTTATAAATCACACTATTAGTTTACATAATAACAGAACTCCAATAAAATGTGAATTACTTGCATGTGTTATTGAAGTGTATATATGATGAGGTCAAATGTTTTTTTACATTACAAGAGAGGCGAAGGATACAAAAGGGACATTCAAACTCACAATTCTAAACAAATGATAACGCCATGGCTATAAAGCAAAAGACAAACAAACAACAGTACACAAAACACAACATAGAAAAATAAAGACTAAGCAAAACGAACCCCACCAAACACTGGAGGTGATTTCAGGTTCTCCGGAAGGGTAAGCAGATGCTGCTCCACATGTGACACCCGTCGTGTTGCTCATGTTAGTACAAACCCGGTGATAAGTCTAATTCGGTAGGTCACATTTGGGGAAAAGGAAATGACTGGAAATGACTGGTTGCGCTATTTTTTTTAGATCATGCATCTAAAAATAGCTGCTATACTTTGGTGTAAATTTAACACAGCAACGCAATGAACAGCTCATAAAGACAGTCACAGACTGTAATGGTCTTACGGACAAATGAAGACTATTACGATATCCTCATATTAAATTGTCGCCGGTGGACAATTAAAAGTTTATGATAACATATGGTACCTATCGTGATATCATCGCAGTCGTTTTCGCTTCTGAATTAGAAGGAACTTTACTGTTCTTTTTTTTCAATTATTTTTTAGATAGGCAGTTTTATTAAAAAAAATGCGGATGAATCTCTTAATTTCCCGTGTTTCACTTGAAAATAAGGAAAATGATGAATATAATGGAAATTAACGAGAAAAAAAAGAAGACGGCCGAAGGAGGCAATCCAAATCTTTATTCAAAGAACGGAAAACAAATACATAACCAGAAGAGGACAGACAATCAACGTTCCAGGAAATATTCAATATAAAATCAAAGATTGAGCAACACGAACTCCACTAAAACCAGTGTAAACTCATGTATACCCGGGGAGCATAAACATTAAATTGTTCTTACACAATATATTACCCAGTCAGAAAAATAGTTATCCTGTCAACAAAAAATACTTAATATCCTTTCGATGCATCTGATTTCAATCTGTTTCCTTTTTGAGTGGTTCCTTTTATCGTCATTCCCTTGTTCGTCTGTTTTATATCTGCTATATTAAATATTCAAATATCTTTATATTACTATTTCACATACTTACAACAAAGACATGTTCTTGCACAATTGTCCTTGACCCATCCTGAATATTTAGGATCTGTACATGTTCCACCTTGGGCATAAGCGGCACAGTTTGACTGTGTGTCAACACAAGTTACTGAAATATAATAGAATATAATAGAATCAACAGTTAAAACTAACCTTTAAGTTACTGTGATGAAAAAGAAAATGAATGTGTTTATTTTCAATTCATAACATGAAATCATCTTGAATGCATTAAATGGTAAAGAGGGAAAGTAATTTATAGATTAGCTTTTCTGTGGTCTGTTGTGTTTAATTGGGTATTATAACTGTTATTCCATTAGAATGATCTGTAACAAAAAATAGTATATCATTGTTGCGTTTTAAGCACGGGGGGGGGGGGGGGGGGGGGCTCTTCTTATATGAAGGTATATACATATGTGCCGCTGGAATGGGTCCCTTTTTTGATACGTCAAATATATCAATGGGGTGCAATTTTACCGAGGAAATATATCAATAGGTAGTAATTGACCAATTGTGATATATCAATGGGTCATAATTTTTCAATTTGTTGTGCAATGATCTTCACTGAATTTCCAAAACTCTTTGTCATCATAGGCGGATCCAGGGGGGGGGGGGGGGGGGGGGGGGGGGCTCAACATGGGATTTTCGGTACAGTTGTGCAGCTTGGATTTAAAAAACACCCCCATTGAATAATTGTGAAATCCCTACCTATTCATATCAGTGAGACATCTGTCCATCAGAGTCAAAATGACATGGATGTAAATAACTATATGTAACTTTGTGGCCTTTAATAATGGACAAGACCCATACCATAAAATCAGCTATAAATAGCCCCGTCATGACAAGATGTAAAACAAACAAGAAAAAAACCAAGGTATGATATATATATATTCATTTCAGGTCACTTCATGAAATTACATGATCGTATGCCATATTCTATTTTTGAACTACATTAATACACAGCTTAATTGATGATTTAGCAGTTTCCAAATCTGGTCCAATCAATTTATTGGCTTACATGTTTATTCAAAAGTATAAACTGCTTCACCAAAAAGGGAATACAAAAGCAACTTTCCGTACCGGTTCCAGTCATTGTTCCAGTTCCAGTCCCAGTTCCAGTTCCAGTTCCAGTTCCTCCGGTTCCAGTTCCCATTCCAGTACCTGTTCCTCCGGTTCCAGTTCCCATTCCAGTACCTGTTCCTCCGGTTCCAGTTCCCATTCCAGTACCTGTTCCTCCGGTTCCAGTTCCCATTCCAGTACCTGTTCCTCCGGTTCCAGTTCCCATTCCAGTACCTGTTCCTCCAGTTCCACTCTGTCCAACATACCTTCCGGTGTAATACGATCCGCCAGCTTAAATGTATAAATAGTAATTTTCTATAAATGCAATGTGATCAGTTTTCCTGTTATATTTAAACGATTCTTCAATAATACTTACAACATCCATTTAAGTAAGAATAAACAAAAACAACATCCATGGAAGTAGGAATAACAAAAACAACATCCATGGAAGTAGGAATAACAAAAACAACATCCATGGAAGTAGGAATAACAAAAACAACATCCATGGAAGTAGGAATAACAAAAACAACATCCATGGAAGTAAGAATAACAAAAACAACATACGTGTAAGTAAGGATAACAAAAAAAATCCATATAAGACATGTAAAAAGCGGGTACAGACAAGAATACTGTTTGTTTAATCTACATTGGCTAGAGGTATAGAGGGAGGGTTGAGATCTCACAAAACATGTTTAACCCCGCCGCATTTTTGCGCCTGTCCCAAGTCAAGAGCCTCTGGCCTTTTTTAGTCTTGTATGTTTTTTAATTTTAGTTCATTTATATGTTTTGGAGTTTAGTGTGACGTCCATTTTCATTGAACTAGTACACATTTTTGTTTAGGGGCCAGCTGAAGCCAGCCTCCAGGTGAGGGATTTTCTCGCTGTGTTGAAGACCCATTGGTGGCATTCGGATTTTTTTTTGCTCTTTGGTCGGGTTGTTGTCTCTTTGACACATTTCCCATTTCCATTCTGAATTCTATTTACAGAAAAGGGAGACAATTATTTCATCAGACTTAAGTAAATCATATGTTTTCGAAATGGAATAAGAAGATTTTGGCAGTAATTGTAAACTTCTATTTTATTTAATGCTCGAACTTGTTTAAATATTTGAATTTCACAATGTTAGTCGCTGAAAGTTATTCTAAAAGCATGTTTGGTGCGAATTGAAATCAGTATAATGTGTTTATATTTCAACAGGAAATAACAGTGTCAAATCTAAATAATTTTATTTGCCATTTATTTATTATAGCCGATACTAAAAAGTGTTTCATACACAAAAAGAAATTAAAAATATCAAATATGATTTATGTTTTTATGCATTAACCTCTAATGAACGGATGAAAATCTTTAGGAAAACAAAATATCGGCTAAAACACATGCATGATAAATGTTGTCACTTTGAATATTAAGCTAAAGTAAACGTAATAATCATTCACAATTTACAAAAACATTTATTCCTGAAAGCAAACAAAGACTATCATATATTTCTTTTCAAATTTTATAAAGATTTTCATATTTTCCAGGCCACAACTCTAAAACGGTAGGTTTATTGTGTTGAAAGTCTTACTTCATATTATAGTATGGTTTATTTTTATATTTCCAGATATCGAGATTTAAAAAAAACCCTCTAGATTTCATTCCTGATATGTTATTCATTGACGAGTTATCATTTTGAAGATGAATAACTCATCACCATTATTAGCTAGAATGTGACATGTTGGCTATAAATGAATATACAGATAATTGTGTATTGTTTTGTTGGGGTTTCTTTGTCTCATTATTGTGTGCTTTTTTAAATTTGATGAACTGAAGATTGCATTAAAATATTTCGGTATCATGTAATGGAAATCACTGCTTCTTGTATTTTTAGAATTGATATCGAGTCATTATTATACCTTTATAAAGATAAGGAGATGTGGTATAATTGCCTATGAGACAAAAATCCACCAAAGTTCAAATGAAATGGATGTACAACTATAGGCAACCATACGGCCTGCAACAAGGAGAAAAACCCATACAGTAGTCGGCTATAAAAGGCCCCGACATGAAAAATATAAAACCATTGAATCGAGAAAACTAACGGCCTAATTTATTAAAAAAAAACAAATATGACAGACAGGAACCAACGACAATCACTGAACCAAAGGCTCCTGACTTGGGACAAGCACATAAAGAATGTGGCGGGGTTAAACATGTTTGTGATTGCTGAACCCTCCCCTAACCTGGGACAGTGGTGTTTCAGCACAACATAAGAATAAACTATACAAATCAGTTGAAAAGAGCTTAACTCGTCAGATCGATACAAAGCAGAAAAATATCTAACAAAAACACAGACCCGACGTGGCAGGATATGTTTACATCCCTAACAACAAAAAAAGACACAAAGTACAGATCTGAGAGTACTCGCAGTTACTGACAGCTAGTTCAAAGCCAATAACAACTAATAATGAAAATCATGTATCTAAAACTAAAATATCAATCAGTACACATCCAACTTTAATATTTATTTAATTTTGTCCTTTGTTTTCTCATGCTTACACATTAAATAAAATCTAAAATAATCTGATTCAGAATCAAACATGACTTAAATACTTACAGATAAGATATGTTATTTTCAAACTTGAACCCATTTCCTATCATTTCAGATAGTAATCTATTTTTAACTTTTGTGATTCTTCATACTTACAACATAGACAGGTTCTTGCACAATTGTCCTTGACCCATCCTGAATATTTAGGATCTGTACATGTTCCACCTTGTGCATAAGCGGCACAGTTTGACTGTTTGTCAACACATGTTACTGAAAAAATGTCATGAAAGATAACAAAAATCTAATAATCATAAAAAAATCTTTGTCAGATAGTAAGACAACGACATGAATAATTTTATAATAGCAACAGTAGTCTCCCAATGTTCAAGGCATCTATCTGAGATATACCAACTAAGATAAACTTATCATAGGAATCATATTTAACTCTGAAATTCCTCGAGATTTGGAACGTCGACAGGTCAAGCGCCCCAACCAATGTAGATCGAGACTCTATATAAATAACACATACCTGGGTAGGTAATAGAGCATGTTGCAACCTCGCAAAAACATTGTCAAACGAATCAAAGCCAAGGTTGTCAACGTTTTCGAGGGGTACCAATCTGCTCTTTCACCCTTTAAGCTATGTGTTATTTAATTTATTATATTTATTGTCTTTTAAATTCTTAATTGAAAGTACTTAACTATGACGACATGTTCTTAACAACGTTTCAGTTATTAGAAAAACAACAAAAGTGAAGCAAGATATTTTGTCTTTATTTTGACAGTCCATGAAAAAGTTCTATGATTTTGTTAATCAAAGTATAGGGGAACTTTCACGTACTATTAATATATTCCACTGATATTGCTTAAAGAATTGAATACTTCAATTTAATTGAACTTTGGAAAGATGAATGCATCGGTTAATGGAGATGCTTACCTTTCGACACACCCGGTCTCGCTTCATTTGGAGTTCATGCGACACACCCGGTCTCGCTTCATTTGGAGTTCATGCGACGCACCCGGTCTCGCTTCATTTGGAGATCATGTGATTCTCTCAGTTTCTGTTTAATACCTTGATTTGTCTCTTTCTAATCCATTTAGTAACACGAAATTAACATCGATAAAATACTGACGCCTTAATTTATCACATTATGCAAGAACAGTCATGAATTTCTACTTTAATGGTGAGTTTGTTGTGTCTGATGTATTTCTCAAAAAACATTTGTAAAAGGACTATATGAAGAACAATTATGTTGACTTAATTTTAACGCTAACCACCACTTCCTCCAGAAACCATACCACCTCCTGACACCATACCACCTCCTGAAACTCCACCACCTCCTGACACCATACCACCTCCTGAAACTCCACCACCTCCTGAAACTCCACCACCTCCTGAGGTCATACCACCTATTGTAAAAAATATAGAGGAAAGTATTTTAAAGTATTGGTTGATTGAACTTATGTTTTCAGATATATGACATTCAATTTTAATTCATTTGAAGTTCTTCTTCTAACATATCAGGGTTTTTTTTTCGTAATCGTATAGAAGAGTGCATTAATGCTACAAAAAAGTAACTGTGTATTACGAAATTGACATGCAAGTATGTACCTCAAAGACAAAAAATATTAATTTGTTTTCTTTGTTCAGGAATATAATAGTAGAGATGGTAAGTAGGTCAAATAATTTTGTTTTGAAAAATATTTAACATAGACTATAAAGGGAAATGTCTGATTAACAAGTAATGTATGGACTTGAACTGTACTTTGTCGAAAAAGTTTATGAAATGTTTTAAAGTACAGAAGGTATTAAATTATAGGTTAGCTAGAGAGGCAGGAAACACACTATCTATGGATGTTGATTGGATAACAAAAGAGATAAAGGGAAATGACTGGGAATTTTACATCTTAACATACTATCTAATGGATGTTGTTTGGACGGCCAAGGAGATAAAGGGAACTGACTAGGAATTTTACAACTAATCCACTGTGAAGATTCCATCAGGAAACACATTATTTATGGACGTTGATTGGACGGCCAAGGAGACAAAGGGAACTGACAGAGAATTTGACTTTTTATCCACTGTGATGATTCTGACAGGAACACATTATCTATGGATGTTGATTGGACGGCCAAGGAGATAAAGGTTACTGACTGGGAATTTGACCTCTAATCCACTGTGAAGATTCTAACAGGAAACACATTATCTATGGATGTTGATTGGACGGTCAAGAAGACAAAGGGAACTGACAGGGAATTTGACTTTTATCCACTGTGATGATTCTGACAGGAACACATTATCTATGGATGTTGATTGGACGGCCAAGGAGATAAAGGATACTGACTGGGAATTTGACCTCTAATCCACTGTGAAGATTCTAACAGGAAACACATTATCTATGGATGTTGATTGGACGGCCAAGGAGCCTAAAGGGAACTGACTGGGAATTTGAACTCTAATCCACTGTGAAGATTCTTAACAACAATTATATTTTTCTGGAGTATTATGAATTTAACATTAACAACCATTCTGGTTCTCGTTTTCATTACCCGAGCATATATATACACGATCATATCCCCTGTCAAGGTAACCAATGAAATTGCTTGATTAGTCGGGATATTTCACTTCAGAACAATATAAAAGTATGTTATTAATGCCCACGTGATTGACTTCTCCGAACGACCTTTTTCTAGAAACAACGTTTTCTAGATTTCACATACAACATTTTCTAGATAAAACATACTATATTTTCTAGATATAACATACCACATTTTCCACAGAACAATGCACAGTTATCAGTTACCCACGAGGTGTATGTAGGGTCTGTACACACAGCATCACCATAGTCCTTACAAGTCTTTAATTTGTCCACACATCCTGTGTAATACATTTGTTCTTTTAGAAGTTTTGTGATAATTTGAAAACGAGATGAAAATGGATAAAAACAAATTAAAATGTTTCATTAATACGAAAATTCTACTAAGCATTCAAAATGTCACTCCAAGAACACCAACGGTTGCAATCTTTCTATACTTCGAAGTAACTTCTACATAAGGAAATACATGTACCGAGTCAGGAATATGACAATTGTTTCCCATTCGTTTGATGTGTTTGAGCTTTTGATTTTACGATTTGTTAATGGACCTTCCGTTTTGTATTTTCCTTGGAGTTCGGTATTTTTATTATTTTACATTTCAATTATGTTCTTTTTAACCCTCTCAACTGTGTAGAATAAAAGGAAAGTACGAAAGTACACAAATAAAAGAAAATTCTGAATTTGAAAGGCAAATTTTCCTAACATTAAAGTATAATTCCTTTATATCATATTTAGAAAGAAAAAAAAAACAAACAAACAAAAGAACACTGAAAATAAATCGTAGCACACGTTTTGTTCATGTTATATACGGATACATGTCTTATTCATTTGTTAGATCATATTAAAAATGAATCTGCTAAGGGACTCTATACTGGAATGATAATGTTAGATTTGCAAAAAGCCTTTGACACGGTCGATCATCATATATTGTGTAACAAACTACAAATAATGGGTGTCAAATGTACTAAATGGTTTGAATCATATTTATGTAATAGACAACAAAAAGTTAGTATTAATGGTACTGAATCTGATTTAAGATATATTACATGTGGGGTACCACAAGGGAGTATTTTAGGACCACTATTATTCTTATATTATGTTAATGACATGTCTATAAATATAAGCAAAGACTGCAAAATTTTATTATATGCTGACGATAGTACCATACTATATTCTCATAAGAACCCAGAAGCTATATCTGAAAAACTTGGTAAGGAACTTGAATCTTGCAGCAAATGGTTTATCGATAATAAATTATCATTTCATTTGGGGAAAACAGAAACTATTCTGTTTGGGTCAAAAACGTAAATTGTCGAAAATTCGTAACTTTGATGTTACTTGTAATAATCACACAATTTCATCTCAAAATTGTGTGAAATATTTAGGCCTGAATATTGATTATTCTCTTTCTGGAGAAAATTTTTTAAATAATATTATTCAAAAGATAAATTCAAGATTGAAGTTCCTATACAGACAGGCCAAATGTTTATCAGAACAATCTAGAAAGACTTTAGTTACAGCTCTAATTCAATGTCATTTTGACTATGCCTGTTCTGCATGGTATGCTGGTGTCAGTAAAAAGTATAAAGATAAGTTACAAGTATTACAAAACAAATGTGTTAGATTTATAAAAAATACTGGATATAGATCAAAAGTTGACCATAATGTATTGAATAGTATTGGTTATGTTAATATTGAAAAGCGTGTTAAACAATTGAGATTAAACCATGTTCATAATATCTATTACCATCATTGTCCTAATTATATGCATACAAATTTTACAAAGGTGAGACATCTTCATCATCATTTCACACGAAATAGTGAATAAAACTTCTGGGTTCCACCAGTAAAGAGTCAACAAAAAGATACATTTTATTTTAATGGCATACAAGATTGGAATATGTTGCCAAATAATGTTAAAAAAATAAAGAAAATAAAGGATTTCAAAATTAGTGTTAAAGAGTACTTGACCAAAAGTTATAGTGCGGCCTTATCAGACTTCTTTTTATATTATTAAACTCATTTTTTATCCAAATTATTCTTATATGAATTTTTTATGTCATATTAATTTGTGTGATATCTTTTTTGTATGTCGAAACTATAAGCCGTTTACATGAAGGGACCCCATTGGAAACAAGCTTTAAAGCTTTCATGGGTTATCCCTGATAAAATATTAGCAAATTTTTTCCATGCAGTTAAAGATTATCTACACTCATAAAATGCCATTATATTTTACAAAGTATGTGTTAGTTATGTCTTTATGTATCGTATATATTGAGTATTGTATTACTAGTAACTCATATGCTTGATATTTTATTGAATAAAATATTATTATTATGATACATTTTACATCATTCTGTTTAGTTAGGTTTCTATTGGCCTTTATCATAGTCTCATTTCTACTGGGATTTTTGTATAATATCATTCAATCTTTTATGGTAATATTCTTTACAAAGCACAAAAATGTCAGTATTCACCTCAAAAGCTAACAAAACCTTTAAACAGACTTATTAAGAAGGGATATAGTTACGATACTGTTGTCAGGTCATTAAAGATTGCATATTTTGGCTTTAATATTAATTCACTTATAGGGTCTTAGGGTCCGCATTTTTGCGCCTGTCCCAAGTCAGGAGCCTCTGGCCTTTGTTAGTCTTTTATCATTTTTAATTTTAGTTTCTTGTGTATAATTTGGAGTTTAGTATGACGTCCATTATCACTGAACTAGTATACATATTTGTTTAGGGGCCAGCTGAAGGACGCCTCCGGATGCGGGAGTTTCTCGCTGCATTGAAGACCCATTGGTGGCATTCGGCTGTTGTCTGCTCTATGGTCGGGTTGTTGTCTTTTTGACACGTTCCCCATTTCCATTCTCAATTTTATTTGCATTGGAATTAAACACATTTATTCTAAAACCAGTTGTTGGCATAACACGGGTTATGTTCTTCTCATATATTTTATGACGGTATAATACTAAACCCCTAACAGGAGGGATTGTGCCTGATATTCATATGATGAAGACATAATCTTTTAATCAGTATAATTGAGGTCTGGAGCTGGCATGTCAGTAACTGCTAGTATTCTGTTGTTATTTATGTATTATTGTCATTTTGTTTATTTTCTTTTGTTTCCTATTCTGACATCGGACTCGGACTTCTCTTATACTGAGTTTTACTGTACGTACTGTTGTGCGTTTGTTTTTTCTACATTGGCTAGAGGTATAGGGGGAGGGTTGAGATCTCAAAAAACATGTTTAACCCCGCCGCATCTTTGCGCCTGTAACAAGTCAGGAGCCTCTGGCCTTTTTTAGTCTTGTATCATTTTTAATTTTAGTTTCCCTTGTATAATTCGGAGTTTAGTATGACGTCCATTATCACTGAACTAGTATACATATTTGTTTAGGGGCCAGCTGAAGGACGCCTTCGGGTGCGGGAGTTTCTCCTCGCTGCATTGAAGACCCATTGGTGGCCTTCGGCTGTTGTCTGCTCTATGGTCGGGTTGTTGTCTCTTTGACACATTCCCCATTTCCATTCTCAATTTTAATGAGACATTTATCTATTGGGCTTACCTCCTGAACCACCGGACATGACTGGAGTTTGACTGCCAGTGCCAAATCCCAGATGGAAACCTGTAATGATTGAGTGAGTGAGTAAATAACATTGTGATCTGGTATGTCAAGTTCATGCATTGATTTTTTTTCTTATTTTCTGCACGTTTAAGTCATTTTGACCTGTGTTCAAACGTAAATGGTATTACTCTTAAAAAATAAAACAATTCAGAGGTTTTTTTATTTTGACACTTAATATTTGTTGTAATGACAGTAGACATACATTACAAATAGTGACGTTTATTGATAACAGAAATGTTACTCAAAAGGACGTTTGTTACCCATCGTTTAATATTTGATGTTGGTTTCTGTACATACGAATGAACTACAAGAAGGGAATTGTATATAAAAAGGACGCAAATGCTGGTTTTTGTACATAACAATGAACAATCAGAAGGGAACTGTATATAAAAAGGACGCTTGTTTCCCCATCTTTTAATATTTGATGCTGGTATTTGTACATACCAATGAACTAACAGAAGGGAACTGTATAGAAAAAGGACGCTTGTTTCCCATCTTTTAATACTTGATGCTGTATTTTTGTATTTACCATTGAAGTACCAGAAGAAAGTTATCCGTGATACTATTTGTGATTTATCTTAATCCATAAATCTTCGAATGAAGTTTTGTTTAAATGTAGCTTTCAGTAGTTGAAAACGGTAAATTACGAAAGAAAACAAGCTAGGAAGATAAATTTGTATAAATTCAAATTAATATATTATACTTACCGCCATCGCCACTGCCACTGCCACTGCCACTGCCACCGGTTGCTACAAAGCAATATCGTTTTAAATTACCAGAAATTTCGTAAATACTATTTTAACTATTAACAAAGTGACTTTTTAACTATTGAGATATTTACACTTTTTATTCATAGCATTAATTTTATGTCAATTTTTTTTACCTAGTAAACTTATAACCACATATATAAGCTGGATTACTCGTATAATTCAGATTGTAGAGCTAGGGCTTACCGTGGCTATAACTTGGATGGAGAGTTGTCTCATTTGCACTCATACCACATCTTCTTGTATCTATGTAATGTTAACTGTTTATCAGATGACCTTGTTGGATCTTTACGTTATTACTTTTTGCAAATTGATAATAAACAACTAGTTTGACCAAACCACAAGTTTAGGTACAATGTACCTATCTCAAACCAGGAACCACTATTTTTTAACTAAAACGTTCTTTGTGCTGTCCTCTCGATTTGACGACAATCTTTGATAAGTCACGTATTTTCTTGATTCGGGTTGATTTAGAGCTTGTCATAGTGTAGAGACAATTGTACACTGCTGAAGACTACAGTGTACAAACAGTTGTACACTGCTAAAGACTCTATTGTACAGACATGTGCATACTATTGAAGACTATATTGTGCAGGCATTTGTACACTGTTGGAAAACTATAGTGTACAGACATTTGTACACAGTTGAAGACTGTACATTTAGCTATAGATGTCTCTTAATTATTTCAATCAGTAATGTGTGTGTTGTTTGGTTGCTGTCTTATCAAGTAATAACTAACACCTCATTTTATTCAGACAGACCGAAGGACGAATAGGCAATCTCAAATATCAGAGAAGCACTTCATGATAGAAACATAATACTTGAAATGAACAACACGTAGGACGTAACTAGTAGAGCAGGACTGCGTAGCCTTCGAAACATCTAACTTCATCCTCGTGTTTTTGTTGGATTCGATTTACCCATTTTTAAATTTTTTTCTATGTAGTGTTATGTGGACTGCCTGTGAAGTGTTATGTGGACTGCCTGTGTAGTGTTATGTGGACTGTGTAGTGTTATGTGGACTGTCTGTGTAGTGTTATGTGGACTGTCTGTGTAGTGTTATGTGTACTGCCCGTGTAGTGTTATGTGGACTGCCTGTGTAATGTTATGTGGACTGCCTGTGTAGTGTTATGTGGACTGTCTGTGAAGTGTTATGTGGACTGCCTATGTAGTGTTATGTGGACTGCCTATGTAGTATTATGTGGACAGTGTAGTGTTATGTGGACTGCCTATGTAGTGTTATGTGGACTGCCTATGTAGTATTATGTGGACAGTGTAGTGTTATGTGGACTGCCTGTGAAGTGTTATGTGGACTGCCTGTGTAGTGTTATGTGGACTGCCTGTGTAGTGTTATGTGGACTGCTTGTATTGTTATGTGGACTGCCTGTGTAGTGTTGTGTGGACTGCCTGTGTAGTGTTGTGTCGACTGTCTGTGTAGTGATATGTGTTATGTGGACTGCCTGTGCGTCTATTTTTTTTTAGGGCCATTGAGTTGTCTGTCTTGTTTTACTATGTTTTTATGGCCATGGAGTTGTCTGTCTTGTTTTACTATGTTTTTATGGCCATGGAGTTGTCTGTCTTGTTTTACTATGTTTTTATGGGCATGGAGTTGTCTGCCTTGTTTTACTATGTTTTTATGGGCATGTAGTTGTCTATCTTGTTTAACTATGTTTTTATGGGCATGGAGTTGTCTGTCTTGTTTTACTCTCTTTTCATGGGCATGGAGTTGTCTATCTTGTTTTACTATGTTTTTATGGGCATGGAGTTGTCTATTTTTTTTTTACTATGTTTTTATTGGCATGGAGTTGTCTGTCTTGTTTTACTATGTTTTTATGGGCATGGAGTTGTCGGTCCTGTTTTACTATGTTTGTATGTGCCTCCTTGATATTTTCTCTCTTTGTAAAGAGGTTTTATTTTAATTATTAAATCAGTAAACCTTATCAACGGATACTGCCATCGATAATATTTTTACACATGATTTACGAGAAACTATTTATAAATTGTATACAAGTATCTCGGAAATCTGTATTACACTTAATAGAGAAAATGTATTCATTTGGGAAAAATTGGAAGTGTACCTACCTCCACCAGAGGGCGTAAAAGAACATTGTGGTTTACTACAACATCCGTTTGCTTCTTTCACTAATTGACAACCTTGTGGTAAGGTTCCGTATGAAGGGCACCTAAAGACAAATTATACACATCATAAAATAAAGTCTGTATTACTGATCGGAGGAGACCAAAAGATAGCCTATCTTGGTACCTCTTCCTTTGTATTTCTAGAAAAACATGTCATAAAAGTAAATCAATCATTTATTTTTGTGAGAGGCATGCAACTACGTTTTTAAAAGTTGTTTACCATCGATGTGTTTAAATGATACTAACACATTTTACCTAGATATATATATTTTATATAAATTGCCATTGCCGTAGTTGGCACAACTTTTCGGAATTTTCTGTATTCGAAGCTCTACAAATTGTATTTGATTTGGCCTACTGACTGTTTTTAAAATCACTCGCCACTGACGAGTCTTATGTAGACAAAACGCGCGTCTGGCGTACACAATTATAAATCTTATATAATTGATGAATTTTTACACAGCTTTGCCAACATATGGTTTATGTTAATAAAAAAAGTGATACACTTACACATCTTTGCAAGTGTAGTGACCTGTTGATCCATCGGTACATTGACAGTTGTATTTGCAAGGAACAGTCCATGATTGTCCCTGTTGATATGTCTGCCCTTCATAAAGACATCCTCCTAAAATGAAACAGGGATACAGAATTTATAGAATGAATGAACAGTCCATGACTATGTCTTTTGATATGCCTTTCCTTCATAAAGCCTTCCTTTCGATATGAATCAGGGATACAGACATTATAAAAACAATAAACAATCAATAATTGTGCCTGTCGATCAGTGATTTGGTAAGTTTGACTTGTTAAAACCTCCTAGAAAGAAGAAAACCAGAGTGTGGATACTCATTATATACATCAAACGGAAAAGTACTTTGGTATTGCTTTCGAAAAAGTATCTTATAAAATAACAGAATGATGCAGATAAGTGTAAAGAAACTCAAATCAGGATACAAAGTAATAACTCATACGTATCCATTACTTATATCGTAGATACATACATCTATAGAATAGAGAATGGAAACGGGGAATATCTATGCTTATATTAACCGACTAACAACAGAGAGAACGCGATTATGATGAAGGTACTATGTAGAATTTCATGAGCGTTCTTCGATAAATGCCAACATTGCAAATACGTAGCATTACACATAAGGAGTATTTCTAACGGTAGTCTTAGCTTAGAACTACGTGATGCTACATGTGGCATTACATTATATCACATTTAATCAGAGTTTCAAAATTTTTAAAACCAGCAATAAGTAAAAGTTATTTTTATTATCAGATTACTGGGGTTGTGTTAAAATTTGTAACATTTTGTTTCATATACTGTTCTCCGTTTTTTCCCCAGGAAAGTCAAACGTGGATACCAAGATTTGATTCGGAAATTTTAGTTCTACATGTAGAAGACTTATAGCTATCGAGATATCACATTCTGATACGCTGATGTTGTTTATAGCGTGCGCAAATTTGGACACGTTCCATGCAAGATTATCGATCCTTTGAATAAACATACTCCAAAGGTTATCAACTTTAATTTGTAATTCAATCTTTGAATATTGTTTTCATCGGCAATAATATTTATTTTCTAATCAATCAATTAAAACAAAACTAACTATGTTTTGCTTTACAGTTATTAGCGATAACAGTTCTACATCCCATCAATACTTTGCCGTTGCACAATGTCATGTTTTTCTCTGATAGTTAATGACACTTTTTACACTAAATTCATTGGATGAGTGATGATTAAATTTTGTCTTGGATACATGATTTTTTATTAGATGTTATTGGCTTGGAACTAGCTTTCAGTAACTGCGAGTACTCTCATATCGGTAAGTTGTGTCTTTAGTGTTTTTGTATCGACCTGATGAGTAAAGACCTTTCAACTGATTTTTATAATTTGGTCATATATTGTGCTGTTACAGCACTGTCCAAGGTTCGGGGAGGATTGGACGCCATCTAAAACGTTTAACCTGCCATAATCGGTTACTGCCTGTCCCAAGTCAGTAGACTTTAATTCAGTGGTTGTTGTTTGTTACTGTTTAGGGACGACATCAAAAGTTCAATGTAGGATAAAAAACTTAATTCACATAGTTTTTTCACTGACCCACCCCCCTCTTAACTTAATTTGGGAAAAATTGATTGACCAATATGGATATATGTAAAATCGATTTTGGATAAACAAAACTTGCAGCAATTTTAACCCCCACCCCCAAACTATTTGATTTAAGTTTTTTTATCCTACATTGATCTTTTGATGTCATCCCTTATCATATTAATTTTCCGTTTTTTTTTGTACATAAAGCAGGCCGTTGTTTTTCTCATTTGAATTGATTAATATTTTGTTATGTTAGTGTCTTTTATAGCTTGCTATGCGGTATTGATTTTGCTTATTGTTGAAGGCTGTACGGCGACGTATAGTTACTAACACCTATGATATGTGGTCTCTGGTGTACCCTTTAACAATCATACCACATCTTCTTGTTTTATAAATACATGTGTATGTTCTTTAACATCCTAGACAAATGAACATTCACACATAATTTTACTCTATACTCTATTTTGTTCTTTTAATTTTGTAAAGACACTGAAATATAAATTACAGAAGTAGGATATTCGTCAATGAGATATAAGCCTTAGTCATAATAAAAAATCAAAAAATAGACATCTAGCGGTCAATATACGGATTCACGATATACATTATATCAATGCCTTATTTTCAAACTATAAATCGTCCCGAGACCAGACAAGATTAGGAATCTAACAAAGACGAGTCAAATATATGTCAATTACAACAACTTCGTCAATGGACATTAAACTTCAAGATGTTACTTCTGACGATGTCCCTGATTTCGGATAAGCAAATTTAAGGTAGATGTGGCGAGGTATTTTATTACATAGACATAACTTTTTTGAAAACTGATTTTATGGAATGTAGCACCGACTACAAGCACTTTAATAATTTAAAATAAAAGTTCAAACAGGGTCAAAGGTAATGACCATAGCAAGGTAGATAAGAACTTGTAACTTTGACATTTAGTTTCATGTATTCCAGGAGACATTTAGTTTTATGTATTCCAGGAGACATTTAGTTTCATGTATTCCAGGAGACATTTAGTTTCATGTATTCCAGGAGACATTTAGTTTCATGTATTCCAGGAGACATTTAGTTTCATGTCTTTCATGAGGAAGAAAAAGGATGTTGTAAACTTCGGGTTTTTTTTCTAGATATCTAAAGAAGAAAATGATAAATGCAATGTGTGATCCGTGCATTCAACACGTGTTAGAGATAACATTCATCAGGTACGCCTTTTTTGGAAAGCCAAATATAAAAGAGACTGTTAGCCTCCGAAGCTATCACTAGCCAAGGTGATATTTTCAGGTGCCAATACTGTCAGTACCTCGGTACCGGCATGAAAATATACTTAATCGCTTCTAGTGTTACTATCCTATTATTCTCGTATTGTATTATCAGATTATCCACTAATAAGTTAAAAATGTCTAATTTGATTTGTTTTCTGCTTACGTCTATTAGTATTATGGTAAAATATTTAGTATTGTTGCTATCGATGACATTTTCTGTGCGTATAATTGATCGTTCACCCAATTCAGCCATTTGGGGGAATTGCAACCCTTTTTCAGTGTGAACATTAATCTTTCTTTTATGATTGACATAAGTCTCAACAATGTCCGAAAAATACCAGGGAGCCATAAACCGTACAAAGAAACCGACAATACATTGACCCAAAGAAGAAGTACAAAAATTACAGATTTACCTAACATAAAATTTTAAAACAATCTTAAGTGTGAGCTACACGAACTCCAGTAATAAAAATGAATATGCATTTTGGTGCATTTTTTTGCTTCACTAGTAACATCTGTTATTGCAAATATTGAATGGAAAGAATGAGACCAGATATTCGATGGTGCCTCCTCAAAGCTTAAGCATTCTATGCTTAAAACGTTCTATATAATAAGCTTCTGAATTAATTTTCGAATACTATAACTGTTTCTTAACCTTTCCATTCGTAAAACACTTATTGTTTTAAAACAATGGAAAGTTGTGAATAGATGACTGACCTGCTTGACGTTTGTATATATGTCTTGTCTTCTTAACTCCTTTAAGATCAATAGCCGTAGCCAGTCCCACAGCCAATAAAAGCACTAAATATTTCATTATGATGTGCACACGTCGATGTCTTTATGAAGAAAGAGAATGTGCCAAGTGAGTGCATGATCACCAGACCTTTATATGGAACATTATCTACCGAGGTCAATATGATCAACACTCCATTGGTTTATAGTGCAACCCAAAAGTTAAATACAAACATATTACTTAAGGTGTTGTTTAGTCCACTGATAACTGGTTCAGTCATCAAATACATTAACAAACCTCTTATTATATACATTTGTATCACATATGTTTGTATGGTTCATGACATATGGATGCTTAAACTTATACAGGAAAGTGGGGCCAGAAATTTATCTTGGAGATGTTCGTTGATAATATACGGAATATTTCACAGCATACGCAAATGGTTCTAAAACAAGCATTTAATCTTCGGACTTTATAATTTGTTTTAAATATATCTTTTTTTTATTGAAAACTTTCGAAGGAGATATATTAAATATTTACCTCACCTGATTGTAATATTAGTAACAATTTACTGGAACCTTGTAAAAGTATTTGGAATTATTTAAATATAACCACAGTTATCGTATATAATTCTTATTTAAAGTTATGGAGATACGACTACCAGGGCTTTTCTTGTATGCCCGTAAGACCTTTTCTTGTATGCCCGTAAGACCTTCTCTTGTATGCCCGTAAGACCTTTTCTTGTATGCCCGTAAGACCTTCTCTTGTATGCCCGTAAGACCTTCTCTTGTATGCCCGTAAGACATTTTCTTGTATGCCCGTAAGACCTTTTCTTGGGGTGTTCATTTAACTGTGCAGGACGTATATATACGCAACCACGTCCAGTCGGAATGAGCTACATTCAATTTCTGTGCCACGATCTTTACACGATGAAGACCTTTTGTAACAAATCAAATTTAAATAAAAACATATTTGTGGTAATTAATATTCATAGCTATTATTTTCTACTGTATTATTCGTCAACTTGTTTTATGGAGAGGATGCAAGAGACATTATATTTCTTAGAATGTATCTGACCTGTACTTATAAATATTGTTTATTAAATGTAATGTTTAGTTAGTAACAATATTATCAATACTAAAGTATGTATAGTGGTCTGCCCACTTACTAAATGTCACGCTTTTGCCAATGGCATATATTGGCCTATTATTTATAATATATTATGCAAGTGTAATTAATGGGCGTGTTAAGTATTGAATGTTGATTTACAAAAGATGTTTCAGAATGGTTGAACGAAAACCATTTTGCATTTCTTTTTATTAATGGTCAATGGAAGCACATGAGGTCATCTCTGGTTTTTGGTCTTGTTTGAGAAACTCAATATTTAGTTGTATACTGTTGTTTATCTTTTAGACTAATTTCTTTTAGTTATGGCGTTGTTGTCTTTTTCGACTTGATGAACCCCATGGAATCTTCTCTTCGTTAACTTCAAACTTCGCAATTTTTAAAAATTCTATATGAATCTATTGTATTAATAACAATTTGTTTATTAATCTCTATTTCTCTCAAATATGAATAGACCTAGAATTCGACCACAACATGCTTTATAAGGCATGTCTATGTCTTAAAGATAGTGCTGGGTCTACCTGATATTTGGCTATTTAAATGTTTGTTTGAAGGAATGGCGATGTCTTATAAGAGTTTTATTATTTTATCCCACATCTATACTTCTAGCAGCTGTTGAAGTTCAAGACTTCATTGTCATTATCATTCGTATTTTTTTTTTTTAAATTTTCTTTAGCTTTTTCTCTTCTGCTGTGGCGTTTCGTTTTAAAGAAAAATAGCTGAGTAAGCAGTAATGACCTGACGGCATTATTTCATTTACTTTTATATTGGAGAGTGTTTTGAATTAAGGGGTTTAGGTATGAATATTGATACTAAGTATAGTAAATAATTTGAGAACGAATGCATATAATGTAATTTTATTATTTTATCGTGCATTCACAATAGATATTGTTGTTGGCTCTGAATTTGACCAAATCTAATATACTAAATATACATTTACATGTACACTGTGATGTTTATTGTTGTAATTATCAATTATATCAATCAATTGTAACTGATTTTATGCCCTTTATGGGTCCTGAAATTTGGGAAATAAAAATATTCTTTTCTATTCTATACGCTGATTCCATCAAATTCCAAAGTCATCACTGACTTAATTCTTAACAAATGGTAAAAACAGTACTACCAAAACACCAAGGTAGATTCTACAGTTACTGGCAAAAAACAAGGTACATACAAAATAGATACTGAAGGGACATTCTGGTGACAAATAATCTCAAATAACTTTTAATTATTGTTTGCAAGGCAAAATGATAGATTTGTTGAACGTTCTGATAAAATTTGTTTGACGTAATTTTGTTTCATGGATGGACAGCATGCGCGTTCGAAATACACAATCCATAATTTTTAAACAAAAGTATAAGCAATCAACTCAGTTTGCATAGATCTATTCCAGATAGATCCTAATGAATTTATACTAATGCAATAAGTTTTACGTATAGAATTGTTACTTCAGCAATGTTGATGATGAACGTGTAATATACTACAAGCTTCCTAAATGTCCATTTGAGGCAAAAGAGCTTCCGAATTGTTAACAAGAGGTAAAAGAGCTTCCGAAACGACCATTTGAGAATCTGTTTCTTGAAGAATGTCACGGTGATACTAATTTCCTGCTTGCTAATAAAGGTTACTCCAGAAATGCAACATCGAAAGCAATAAAATGTTAGATTTTACTTTTAGTCTACAAAGCGATAGATAAAGAAATGAAACGTGGTGTTTAATAAAATTAACGTGAAAATTATAAAGAAAATTAAATGAGTGCAGGTTATCTGCACAATAGTTTAGTTTCAAGTGTACCCAAAATATAGGATGCAAATTGCGGTTTAAATCGGGGAACATATACTATACAACCTAGGCTTTACTTTACAGGAAACTCATTTTGCTTCCGTGAGTCCACTGGCAGATATAGAGCCCATATAAATGACATAATGTCAGACAATCACCCTGTGATGCAATAGAAATCTGTTTTTCTGCACGATTTCTGCAAATCTTGTCTCGCCCACGTAGCGATAATAATCAGCTGTTAATATTACATAGAGGTAATAGATTTGTACACTCACTCCATGTTAATCTATATTTGTACAAAGATAAATATAACATTCACAAATATTTATAGGACGATTGAACCTATAATAATCAAAGATTGACGCAGTTTTATTTCATTATCAACGTTTAGTTCATTCGAGACTCGTTATCATTTATATATTTGGTTCGTAAAGGAAATAAAAATAACACCTTATAAATGTCGTCTGCCCGAAGAACTTTTCTGGATTTACCTTCTGCGGGAACGAACAAACCTAAATATTTGAAAGCCAGGGATGTATGAATACGTAGATATGTTAGGAGCTGTAAGTCCTAAAGGGAACTAAATAGAATTTTCAAATTCATTCAAGGTCAACTTTGCCTGAGGGAGTTGGAACCTTAGTTTCTTAAACATTTTCTTAATTTGTCAACGGGGCATCTCAGAAAAGAATCCTATAAAATATGTCAGGTTCATCTGGTTCACATTGAACGCCCAAAATCGGTTAACTCCGTGGATAGTCAATACTGGATCTCATGACACACCCAGAACCGGTCAAATCTGTGTGTAGTCAATACTGAGTCTCATGTCACACCCAGGACCGGTGAAATCCGTGTATAGTCAATAATGGGTCACAGGTCACATCCAGGACCGGTCAAATACGTGTATAGCCAATACTGGGTCACATATTACACCCAGAACCGGTCCAATCAGTGGAAAGTTAATACTGGGTAACATGTCACACCCAGGACCGGTCCAATCCGTGGTTAGTCATTACTAGATTACATATCACATCTGTAATCGGTCAAATACATGGATATTCCTCACTGGTTCACATATCATACACATCTAGGACCAGTCAAATCCTTGGATTGTCAATACTGGGTCACTTGTCACAAACACCCAGGACAAGTCTAATTCGTGGACGGACAATACTTGGTCATATGTCACACACGTCCGGTACCGGTCCAATTCGCGGATAATCAATATTGGGTCACTTGTCACATCCAGTACTGGTCCAATTCGGGGATAGTCAATACTGGGTCACTTGTCACATCCAGTACTGGTCCAATTCGGGGATAGTCAATACTGGGTCACTTGTCACATCCAGTACTGGTTCAATTCGGGAATAGTCAATACTGGGTCACATGTCACGAACATCCAGTAGAGATCAAATCGATGGATAGTACTCCAACAACAACAACAACACAAATAAAAAATTAGAAAATATATCTAGAGGTCAATGTATAGTCTTTAACAGTTAATAAATGTCCATATCGTATGTCAAACTCCACGACGTTTGGACAAGTCCCTTACAGAACTAATCACATATCACAAAGGACCCGCAACCAACACCCCTTTCTTTTAAAAAGGAAAATAACATCAATATATGAATGAAGTGAACCAATGATGATGCCTTCAGCCTTGACCAGGAACATTAAAACGAGGCAGGGACAAACTAGTCACTTATGTATCAACCGTCTTCAAATATGACGGAGCAAAAGGAAAAATAAAAGGCACAATAGAATAGACATCAAACAAATGGTATATAGAAAGCATTTTGATCTTTAACAAGTACACTTCAGACGATAAAAACCGCGGTCAAACAAAATATTAAAAGATACGGCACAGAAGAATGCCCACAGTCACAGCCACACAATATGCCGGCAAAGAAATCACACCACCCTACACTCTTATGTCGGCCTTTGCATCTCTGATCACAGCCCACATAGCAACGTCTCGAAAAGAGCAGAAAATACGATCCTGTGTAATATCAAATTTAAACTTTGGAATTGAATTCTTTGCAGAAAAGAGAACATTCGTGTTTGAAACTGTTAAAGCAAATCGATACTAATTCCAAATAATTCATGACATGAAACCAGTATAATTATAATTATAACCTTGATAAATATAAAAAGAAGATGTGGTATGATTGCCAATGAGACAACTCTCCACAATAGACCAAATGACACAGAAATTAATAACGATAGGTCACCGTACGGCCTTCAACAATGAGCAAAACCCATACCGCATAGTCAGCTATAAAAGTCCCCGAAATGTCAAATGTAAAACAATTCAAGCGAGAAAACTAACGGCCTAATTTTATATACAAAATAATGAACGAAAAACAAATATGAAACACAGCAACAAGACACATACAGAATGTGGCGGGATTAAACTAGTTTGAAGGCGCCAACCCTCCCCTAACCTGGGACAGTAGTGTAACAGTACAACATAATAAACAAACTATAAAAATCAGTTGAAAAAGGCTTAACTCATCAGACGAATACAAATATAACTACATCCAACAAAAACACAAAGTGGACGTGGACGGGTACTTGTACATCCCAACAACAAAAAGACACTTGGCACAGATCAGAGAGTACTCTCAGATACTGACAGCTAGTTCAAAGCCAATAACAACTAATAAAAAAAAAATCATGCATCTAAGACTAAATTATCAATCAGTAGACATCCAACATCCAATGGATTTAGTGTAAAGACGTCATAAACAGTCAGAGAAAAACATGACCTTGTGCAATGCCAAATACAGGTATCGACAGATTGTAGAGCCATGAATGTGCATATGTATATAACAATAATATTTAGTTTGATTTTAATTTACTGATAACAAAATCAATATTAATACCAATAAAATCAATATTCAAAGATCTAATTACAGTGTTGAATTGGTAACCTTTTCGAATAAGTTTATTTACAAGGTCGATAAGTTTACCGGGATCGTTTCTAAATTTCCGGGCTCGGAAAACAACATCTCTGTATAAATGAGGATGTGCTATCCCGTTTGAAATAAGTTTTCTACAGGTACAACCAAACTTCTAAACCAAATCTTTATATCTATGGAAGAATTTAGTAAAGGTTTTAAGTAATTTGTGGTAACGAAATCCCTGACTCAATAATTTACCAGTAATACATAGATTACGTTCATAAAAATCCAAAAAACGTCACAACGGACACGGGCATAGCGAACGAGTTGTGATATATAAACACCGTAAGACGGTGCCAAAGCAACATCACCATCAAAAAAGGAAAATTAACAATAGAGAACGAAAAATCGTCCCTTTTGTAATAAATTTTAGGGTAGAGTTTCCCATGTAAAACTGAAATATCTAAATCTAGGAAAGGACAGTTATTACCGTTTATATTTGATTTATTTAAAGTAAGTTCAAGATAACGGTAAGTGTTGTTGAATTTATCAATTAAATGCAATTAAGACGGGTCTTTACTGAGTTTGGTTAAGTCTACCGTGCCAAAAATATGTGGAAAACAATACTTATACTTGTTTGCTAAAATATAGATGTTCTTTTATGAACCGTTTGTTTGTCAGCGGAGAATGTGTCAAAGATACAACAACCCGACCAAAGAGTACCTTTCTATATTTACAGCATTGAACCAACTTGGGCGTAACATTAAAGGAGCTGTTCACCTATATACATTTACATTTAAAGCAGACATCGGTCCTACATGCTGTCGATACCTACTATCGACAGCATGTAGGACCGATGTCTGCTTTAAATGTAAATGTTGCAAATACGTAACCTCTTGTTGGCACATATAGTTTGACCAACTTACTATTTTTCGCATGGTACTACAAGTGCAGCTACATTTAAATATCTGGATACAACTAATTCTATCAGTGCTTTTGTATAATGCATAAAATACACATAGATATATGAGGGTCTGGATGGGGTTTACAGAATAGAGAATAATGGCCCAAAAAAAAAAGAATAAAGAAAAATGAGCAAAAAAAATAAAGAATAGAGAATAATGGGATGAAAGTATAAAGAATAACTAGAAATTATAGGATTTAATTAATACACTATGTATAAAAGAGATAAACGATGTACAGAATAAAGAAATCATATAACTACTGAAAAAATAGTAAAATCATTTTCATGAGAATTTTACAGAAAGGCGTAATTTTTTAAGATATAGTTAAATGCCGAAGAATTTAAAGGATACAGAAATTAAGAACCCTCCTAATCATGTTGTTATACCTCAGTATTCAAATCAAATGGTGCAATATAATTTTGTATGTCTTGATAAAGCACCAGTTTAAAGTACAAGTGAAAACAATTTTACTGTATGGTAGCAGAAGTATTTATTTTAAATTATTGACTCTTACCGCTGATCGAACTGCGAAATAACTATATTTGTTGCTGTTTACGTTTATATAAACTACATCAATAATAATGAAATAAGGAAATTCATTGTGACGAGGAATATGACATGCATGAGGTTGTTGTATGTATTTCTGTTCAATCTTAGGTTGGTTGACATGATTACAGGATAGACAAAGAATGTTTGATGACATATTTCATTACATAAAACAAATGTGTTTGTATTGAAACAAGTCAAAGTTGATATTTCAATAGACACATAGATTTAATTATAATCCTAACCCTCGTCACGATGGCAGATCCTCAAAGTCTGTTAAATTTATGTAGAGTTTGACATATTCTACAGAATATTGTTTATTGTTGAATGCAATGTTGAACTTACGATGTCGTATGGTTTTTATTAATAATACTTTATAAGTTTAGTGCGTTTGAAGCGCTTTTCTGGATTTACGTTCAGCATGTAAGCTCAGTACTAAATATTCGAGGCCAAGGATGTTTACATATTTGAGCAGTTATATAACCATAAAATCAAATCTATTTAAGGTCAACTTTGTCTACAAGGAATTGGAAGCTTTTTCGTTATAATTTTTTACATATATCGACGGAAACTTTACCATCGAATACCAATGACCGACCAGAGATTATTATCGAAAGTATTATCAATCATTTGAGCACTCCTGATGATGGTGAATCCAGGAAAGCGACTCGGACGCATGACATATATAAAGTGTTGTTTTCATATTCAAAATGTTACATAGCCAGAAGACACCTTATAGGAAGATCCCCATTTGTGAATGTGTTTAAGATATATACATATTGATTTTCACCATATACCATACTATTACTTACTTATATTGATTTCATCTAATTTGTTTAATCTCGAATTATTGATGTTAAATTCTAACTCCCTGACAATGATGGGGAAAATGAGTAGGACGGCACTTACTGAATCTGACGGTCTGAACAATCTAGTCTTTGAGTACTACAATTAAAAATAAAATACTCTTAGGTTGTAATGAATCAAATAAAGAGGCCTTCTTATATATATAGTGTTACATTGATACAGGCAGAATATTCTTACGAGGACTGAAAATGTGTTATTTGTTTATTTTATCTTAATCATGAATACAATTATACTTACTTATGCCATTTACATTCTGTTTCCATTTTCGCTTTGATTTTCATTGGATTTATTGAGTGCGATTGGAAAGTTGAAATATTGAATTAGCAAACCTAAACCATTCTTAATAATTAAAAATACTGGACAATGAAACTTAAAAAAAAATGTTTTAATCATACCAAGCTGCATTTGCGACAGTATTTCATAGAATGGGATTGACAATGAAATATTGTGCAGTCACGAGCTTATCGTATTCATTGAGATATGTAAACACCATACGATGGGACAGAGGGCTTGTTACTGCTGAGAAATTGAATTATGCCTTAAATAAAATTTGGTAAATAATACCTTTAAAATATCTTGTATTCGCCTATTTGATTGATTTGGTTTGTATCAGTCAGAAATGAGAAGGTCTACTGTTTTATATGATCAGCATAAATCCTTTCTTTATTCGTATTTTTTAGCACATGTGATCGTCTCCGGTATTTTTATGGTTGGTTCTAGGTGTTCAAGGTGTACCGAAAAAGTTATTATGTAACGAATCACATAATTTTCTATCTTGTTTTATTTATTGTTTACATTGAAATTAACAAAATTATCTACCTTGAGAAAATTTGAACTTTAAATCACATGACAGTATTGATTGAACTGTCGCATGACGAGAAGTTATTCATCCGAGTGCCATAGTGTATATACCTATGACAATATTTGTCAAGTTACAGGTATCTATTGCTGTTTTGAATTGGTCTAACTGAATTTAATGATTCGTTTTAATTTACATAACGGTGTACTAATTCAAAAAAAATATGCCAATAATTTCACTCTAACAACGGTTTCTACTTACTATAATGATTGTACTTCCTTGTTTTAAAAGGGATCGAACATTATTTGTACGTATGAAATTTTCTTAAAATTAAAAAAATAAGAGAGTAAGAAATTGTAAGCCAGTTTTCATTCCGCTATTTTGGATTCTCAATCTTTTAATTAGTTTGGTCTTTTATTCTGAATCGAAAGTTCTGTCACAGCCATCGATTAGAAGGATGCCCAATACTATATATACGCATTATTGTGTTATTATTCAAAACAAAATACCAATAATTTTACCCTAACAACGGTTTCTATTTAATTTTGACTGTTTGTAAAGTTAATTAACAAAAAAACAACAAAAACAAAAGGCGGAAGATACCAAAGGGACAATCAATATTTATAAATCGAAGAGAAATCGACATCACCCTGGCAAAAACGATAAATGACAAAATACCAATGTACATAGAAAATGTAACACTCAGCAACACGAATCTCATTGCAACTGAGGATGATCTCAGATGCTCCGAAACCTTCAATTTTTCAATACTTGATGCAAATATGATTTACACTATTTCAATCTAGAATTTTATTGGCAATTAAGGACAATTCTGAAGAAAAAATATTATTCTATGTGGTCATTTATCATGTTACTCAAGGCGTCATAAAAAAGATGTCACTTCCTCGTCAGTAATAGAGCTAGACAAACAAAGACACAAAAAGCTATAAGACATACAAAGATCATCATATGGTATTCTAAGTAAGACAATTATCTACAATATATCAGCACTTGACACTTTTGTGTTGAGGTAAGTTTAACCGTTCTGTTAAGGTTAGGATAAAATCCTTGTAATCATTTTCGCCCTTATGGAATTTCAAACTTGAACCTGTATAATTACAAATACGTTGTTTTAGGTAGTAAAGTATGTCATCCAACATTCTTTGTGGACCCTGTAGCTATGTCAACACAAATAAAAATGCACAGAAATGGTGTACCAATTGCGAGGAAGGTTTTTGTGCTGACTGTGAACAGGTTCACAGATCCATGAAGGTTACAGGAGACCACACACTGATGTCAACCGACGACTATCGTAAAATTGAAAATGTTCCCGTCAACTTGAAATGTGATACCCATGGCAAGAAGTTTGATCTATATGCAAAACACACGATGTAGCCATTTGCGTAGCCTGCTTTCCATTACTACACAAACATTGTTCTGATGTCATTTCCATCGACGATGTAGCAAAAAATTCAAAGAGATCGACAGCGCTGGATGATTTGGTGGATTCAATCAAAGTCGCATTAGAAAACATGAAACATTTCATCAACAATCGCAACGTTGCTATGAAAAATCTTGAAATAGAAGAACAAAGCGTCAGGAAATCAATCAGTGAAATTCGAGCAAACGTTAACAAACATTTGGATGAACTTGAAAACAAAATGTTAAATGTGTTGTCCCAACGGTACGAAAACTGTAAATCAAAATATGGAAAAGTACAGAAGTATCTGAATAAAATAGAAAAAGAAATCAAGTTACTACAAGAACAAACATCACAACTGAAACGTGTCGGATCCGACTTACAAGTTTTCCTTGGAACTCGTCAGATCAACAAATTAATCCATAACGAGGTACAAAGCGTCAAATCAATGACGAGCTCATTACAAGATTACAAGATTGGGGTTGAGATTCATCAAGAAATCATTTCATTACTAGAGAATGTCGATACTTTCGGAAAGGTTAAAGTTGAAGAAAACACTATCAGTTTACCATTCAAAGATCCAAAGGTCGATCAAGCTCAAATAGTACATAAACCTTCCGGTCAATCTTTTGATCGAACTAGGCTACAATTGCGACAAAAGTTCAAAATAAAAAGGAAAACGGCTGAAGTAAAAGTCACTGGATGCGCAATTTTACCAAACAGTCATATATTGATAGCCAATTACAGTGAAGACAAAGTATTAATTGAGTATGGTGAAGCAGGAAGACATATTCGTGACATACCAGTTTCTGGCCAACCGTTTGATTTGGCGGTTATAGACAGTGATCGCATGGCAGTTTCATATGGTGGAAATAGTATTATGGAAATATTGAACATTAATGACAAAATGGTTCACGCGAAAGTAACTTTCGATTGGAGTTGTTGGGGAATTTCATACCAGAACGAAAACATTTATATATTAATAACTAATGAAGGTATAGTAGAGATGGATATGTCAGCGAAACGATTACGTACGATAGGTGGGCAATATAGTGATGAATGTGGTATTTTTTATATAAGTGTAATGAAAGACAGAATCTGTTATAGCAGTTGGTTAACAAACGTGCTATATTGCTGTAGTATGACAGGTGACGATATCTGGACATTCACTGACCAATCTCTTGTCGCTCCTTGTGGAATATCAGTTGACGACGATCAGAACGTGTTTGTTGTGGGAAAGGATTCTAACAACCTGACGATGATACAGCATGATGGGAAAGTCAGTAAGACGTTACTTACTGAATTCGACGGACTGAACACACCAAATGCCATAGTGTACAACAGTGCTAAGAAATTACTGTTGATTTTTAAACAAAATGGAGATGCCTTTCTATATAGTGTCATATAGATACAAGCAGAATAACTATATACGGACGGAAAATATACCCTTTAATGATTGTATCTGGTTCATAATAAAATATATATTGACTTATATTGGATTTATGGAATGCCCGTTGCAATCTTTTAACATTTTAAAGTAATAATATGACGAAACTAGTTTATGCTCGATAGGATTTAACCAAATGTAAGATATGTAGAATGTAAAAATCTAAAAAAAAAATCCAAATACAATTATATGTATTAGACTCATCACGTCTTTTTTTTATCAGAGCACTGTGCACTCAAACTTAAAAATAACAGTTTTGATATTACGAAGCTGCACATACTACAGCCTTTATGTGAGGGGATAGACTAGCACATAATCGCTCTGCACTACTAGGGATAAATATTCTGTATCAAAAAATTAAGAGGTCTAGTTTAAGTTGGTTATGGAGGAATTCTGAAGTTTGGAATACCAAAGAAAAACAAATGTAGATTTTGATATACTTTATAAACGACTTTCTCACTGTCACATGGAAAATCTTTGATATCTTCCTTATTTAGTTGTGGTCTCAGTATTAAATGTGTAGGTTATATGTGGCACTGAAACAAAAACGGTTCAATCGAAAATCGTTACAGAAAATTTCCTTGTCAAAAGTAAAAAGACGAAGAGAAAATCAATAATCCACAAAACTTCATTAACAATTATAATATTTTTTGTATACAACAATGATAGAAAATTAACATTCTTGAACTTAACCAGTTTAAAATTTATTAAGACATTTTTTAAAAGTGGATGTTTGTCTATGCCAATCAGACAGCAACTCTGCGATAAAAAAAACATATTCCGAAGATATTATAAAATACAATAACTTGCCAGGTTCCTGAATTCGGAGAGTCCCAATAAAATGCAATGGGATTAAACTAGTTCTATGCACTGTACTTAAAATTTTGACAGTGATTTTAAAAGCTTAAAAGTCATATGATCAATTTACCTCCTTGGAAAACAGCTATCGGGTATAACATCGGCATAATACTCAACCTAAAGTATAACAATGAAAATAATATCATAACTTCAAGAAGGTTTTCAGTTATTGGAAAAAGGTCATTAAAGATTCCAATCTGGTAATTTGGTAAACCAGACGTGCGTGTCATCTACATAAGACATATCGTTGTCGTACGATTCAAAATAGTTGGAAGACGAAATTTACACAGGAAATTTACACTAAACAACCGAAAAATCTAAGAAGTTGTGCCAATTACATCGAAGGCAATCTATGCCTGGGTGTTGAGCAAAAGTAAAATTAAAGACTTGTCTTGTTGATACGGAAATCGTGCCGTTCTATCAATCTATGTAGGCAACATATACCTACCGTGAAACTGTGACATCACTGAAAGTATCAGTCGTTTCCTTATAAAGGCTATTATCATTTTGACTAATTTATACAAAACTTTATCGAAATGATGTTCAGTGTATATGAAATAATGAGCCAATGAGACAATATACATAGTTCAAACGAATCGAATATAAACAACTATACGTCACCGTACGGCCTTTAACAACGAAGCGAATTGGTACCGTTTTGTCGGCTATAATAGGCCCCAACATAAAAAAATATGAAACAATTCAAACGAAAAAAAGCATTGGCCTGATTTATGACAAAACAATAAACGAAAAACAAATTTGACAGACAGCAATGAATAACAAGCTGATGTCTTGGGACATGCATAATATAGAATAGTGTAGTTTAACCTATTTGTAAGCGTTCAACCCTCCCCCTCACATGTGACAGTGGTGTAACAGCAGAACTTAAGAATAACTGCAATAATCAGTTGGAAATTGCATGACATATCAGATCGGCATGATGCAAGAAAAACAAGGAACATAAAGACAAAAGACACAACGTACCGTTCTTGGCGTACTCGCAGCTATTACATCTAGTTCAAAACCAATACTGACTAGTCAAGAAGTCGTGTTTTCCCTAATTAAAGTATCTAGATTTTACTTGATGAATCATAGTGGCTTTTTTTAATCCTTTATTTGGTTTTTCTTTACCATATACGATAATCATATGCTTTCAAAAGTATAGATTATCGGGTTTTCTATACCTTGGCATCGAAAATATGACCCGCGAGCTACAATGTGTACCTTTTTGGCGAGTGAGCGCAGATTACAAACAAAAACGCTTTACATTTGGTCGAGCGACTGATATTTTATAATATCAATACGCAGGAAAGCTAATAATCTGTTTATCGTGCTATTTCAGGTGCTTTCCCCCTCCCTTCGACAGTTTTACGCTTATCGAAAGTATGCTTTATAACATCTCATTGTGAGGTCGCTGATAACTTGTCCTCAGACGTTGTGATGTCGATAAATGTTCTGCATGTGTCTCAAAGCCGTTATACGAGAATTACGGAGCGTCTGAACAGAGCGATATAGACAAAGGACGAAAACCATCTCTAGTGTCAGTGTTAATGGTATAAAAAGAATTATATCATATATTATCAGCAGATATTAATAGATTATATTAGTTATCATTAGCACAAACTACTTGCACTGATGAATTTGGACATTATCTTGAAAACATGAATGGAGAAACAAAAAACACATGTCTACAAATCATTTCATTGGTCGTTCATATTGTGTATACTAAGGAGAGAGCAATGCTATTTTGGATGAGGAGTGCTTGGATAATTTTGTATATAATTTTATCCCCGTTTGAGAAAAATACATATTGTGATCCTTGCTCTGTAGGAAAAAATGTAATGGCCTGATATCACTTTAAACAATCAAGGCTTTATTTGTGATAAAAAAAATTGCCAATGCATGATATATGTGCCCATGTTTTAAGTTGGTAGTAATGATAATATTACATTCATTGTAATCTGACACGCCAATGCAAACAGATGTATATTGAACCATATATAACTGCATCAGAACAAATTTTGCTGCAATGGTCATGATGAAATCCAAAGTGTTGGGTTTTTTTTCAAAATTTCAGCTATTTTGAAACTTTTCTCCTAGATTTCATATTGTTTCCTTTGCTATGAAATCTCTAATCTTCCAACACCCAAATTGCAGATTCTTTGTAAGACTGGGTCGTTAATATTGAACGGCGTAGAAAATAGTGATACATAAGATAACGCGATTTACTATAAGGCGGATTAAAATGTTCAATACTCAACAGTCGTTATTTTTCATCTTAACAGTTGAATATCGGTCTATAAAGCATCACAATTAACTAGGAGTTTTTGCTGTGAACATTTATCTATAACATAATACCTTCATTTATAGTAAATATTTCTGACTGTTTCTTTTATGCAATAAGCTCAGGAATATTTTCTAATCTTTACATCGGTTTTCTTTATTCTAAAAAGATATACAAATAACATGTGTATCGGACCATAATGAATTTGTAAAAGGTGATGGAACTTAGTTCTCATTGGTAAAAGGTGACGGAACTTGGTTCTCATTGGTAAAAGGTGACGGAACTTGGTTCTCATTGGTAAAAGGTGACGGATTTGAATTGTCTCCTATTTGTAAAAGGTGATGAAATTGGTTCTCATTTGAATTATCTCCCATTTGCCACAAAGAATTTCTAAATCTAAACCTTATATTCACGCAAGTAAAATTTACTCGAATATAAAGACTTTACGAAAGACATTATGACTGTAAAACTATTGAAACTTGAACAAACAATAGCGTTTACAGTTAATAGTGATCTTATTTTCTATCATCGTTAAGCTGATCGTCGTAGTTTTGTTAAATTTAAATATACAGGAAAAAAACAGGAAATATCACAAAATTGTATTCATGGAAAGGGAATGGAAATAACACTTTCTCAATTTCGTGTTTGCGAAGCACTTAACTGGATTGACCTTCACAAGGAACCCTCATACCCGAATATTTGAAAGCCATATGGCCAGATGGCCAGAAAGAATAGCTAAATTTATCAAAGATCAACTCTGCCTGAGGGAGTTGCAACCTTATTTTCTTCATAATTTCTTTATTTCTGAACTGGGAATGTTAGAAAAATATGTTATATATCATATCAGTAAATAAGCACTGAATGTCGAGCTGGTGTTACCCTCGGGGACTAACAGTCCATCAGAAGTGATGTCGATCCACTACTAGTAAATGAAAATAACACTTACATATTTGGTGTGTCCGAAGTGTTTTCTGGATTTACCTTCATAAGGAATACTCAAATCCAAATATTTAAAAACCAGTAAAAGATAAAATAACAAAAATACCAAACTCCAAGGAAAATTCAAAACAGAACGTCCCTTATCAAATGGCAAAATCAAAAGCTCTAACATATCAAACGAATGAATGTAAGACATAATAGGTAAAAATGTCAAAAAAAGGGTACAGCAGTCAACATTGTGTTATAATCTTAATCAGTATAAAACAAATAAATATGTCAACAAAGAAAAACAAAAAGGCATATAGACAAAGCACATAAGCATATATGAAAGACAAGAATACGAAAATTGGCCATAGCACAATAATACAATGGCGGAATGTATAAGTACCGAGCCACGTCAAAAGGATATAACAAAAAATGGACTAAATAATAGGTTAATAATTTACAAAGACAATCAAAAGAACACAATAACACGTAACTGATGATAAACAACGTCAGTACCTAGAATCTATACATCAAGACCATCATGTTTTATTTGTCAAGTTGATACGGAATATTTATCAATAAGGTCTTGGTATCTATCGATGTACTTAATGTACAAATACGTAGCAACGTTAGGAGTTTGAAACCGACATGACAAGAATAGCCAAATTCTTCAAAGTTGAACTGTGCTTAAAGGAGTTTGAACATCAATCTTTTCATAATTTCTTAACGGTGAATTATAGAAGAACATGTTATAAATAGTACTGAAAAAATGACTTATGAGCTGAGAATGAACAGTTTTAGTACAATGAACGTATAATATCGATTGAAATCTATACAAGATGAAAGCAAGTGATCGACTAGCATATTATGTATAAATTTTCAAGAAAACAGCATCCAATTCTTATATTAACAGATTTTCGAAATAACAAAATATATGTTATCGACATTTTGAAACTGATAGCAAAATGTTATAAACAAAACATAGGAAGATGTCGATTTCAAAGTAAATGTAGATAGCCCGTAAAATATTTATAAAATTGCATTCAATATTGTACATGTTTATCGAAGGATAATAACTTATTGTTATATTTTTATATCAATTATTCAGATTTCAAGATATACTATCAATTACA